TAATGTGGTAAATGTTTTGAAAGTCAGTAACAGTGATTATAATGATACCAAAGTAATAATAGTAAGGTTTATGCAGGTGGCGATAAGAATAACGGAGGTAGTAATATGTAAGTATATGTGACTATCATCCTTCATAGTTTGTAAAAGGTCAAATAAAATCTATAAGAAGTTCTATTTTGACTCATTTGATTGGTAGCAGTCACCAAGTGAACAGGAGAAGTGCCTTCAAAGTTATCTATCGAATTCCATTGAACCTTTCGAAAGGAATTCGAACCCACCTTTTACACATAGCCGAAGAAGCTATAGGAATTCACGAGAACAATCCTAGTCTTTGCATATAAGAGAAGTTTATCCTACCTTTGTCTCCTTTGGCCTAGGTAAAGTTAATTAAAACCATGTCTTATTTTCCATTTTCTTCGTGTTTTAATGATATTTAAACTCTGATTATCTGTCTACTTCACCTTTAGGATTACGTAGCTTTTGAGATTTGACCTAATTTATTTATGGAATTGTCTACATATACACATATTACTACCTTCGTTATTCTTATCGCCACCTGCACAAACCTTATTATCATTATAATCATCATTATTACTGACGTTCCAAACATTTACCGCGTTATTATTATTATTTGATCTACAAGCTCACCATCATTGGTAAAAATTTCCATATATAAATCTATGTAAATTAGAGTAAAGTCTGAAGGAGATATAATTGAAAACAACAATATTGCTCACCTATATTGTCTTGTTTTAATATTCACTTACATTTATTGATTTTAAGTGATTAATTTCCAGTTGTGTTAAGTATTGTGCATTTGTCCAATGATAATATTGATTCATTTGTACAGTGATCCCACTTGATGTACGTAGACGACCATATATCGGTTCAATTAATATCCATTGTATGTTTAACTCATCTGGTTTCTCCCTCAATAAATCATATAGACTTGAATTTAGTTTAACAACAGCATATATTTGATGTAAGATTCTATCGTCAGAAAATGGTGGTGTCACATGTCCTAACCCCCATAAACCTTCGCTTACACCTTCATCTGAGATAGATTTCAGGGTTATTTTTAATCCATCTCCAAAAGGCACTTGAATATTTTCCAAACGAATTCTTTTCGCCATACCAAATTCTCTAGGTAAATTTATTAATAAAGATTCTTTAATAACATAACTTTTATATGATGTAATCAACTTCCATGGACGTTCACTAGCTGGTGTATAACCGTTGGGTGTAACTTTAAGTCGATTAATATTATAGTAGTAAATCATTTGTATTGGACTATCATCATTCGGTAGTTGTGAACACCTAGTCTCTAATGTTTTGTATTCAAATTTACTATTTAATAGTTTTGTATTCTCTTTACTTTCCAATTTATTTTTTGACAATGCTTGAAATATCCATTCAGTTTTATGCTGAATATCATAACATTGATCATCTGAATGATAGGCGATCAAACGTAGTGTATAACCGATACTGGCAGGTTTTAGCACGCTGACAGTGTATATAGCTAATGGATATATGTTTCGTGTAATCCTTTCTCAATATTTGCCTGCCAGTCAACTTCTTTGAAAGCTAACGCATAAATACCATCTTTATGTATTAATAAATTATAAATTTCTCTGTATGGATTATATTGTATTTCACGTTTCATAGTAAAACATTCTACTGTTTCTTGTAAACGATAACCGGTTTTAAAATTTTCACCAGTTTGCCATAACCATATTTTTGATAGATTACTTTTATGCATAATATGATGCGTTAAATTTATCCGTTCTCCAGGCCAAATATTTATCATTTTTGGCGATTGAATTCTTGAAAAGTCAGCTGCTGTACTCCATAGAATAGTTTGTTCTAATCCATCGAGTTTACACTCTGGTATAATTCCATATTGTTGATTAGATTTATCTATTGTGATTATTGTGGATAGAAATAGGAAAAAGATAAATTTTTCTAGCATTTTATTCGACATATAATACTACCATTCTATTCTGTATTCCTTATTATACACAATTGCGAAATTGTACTTTCCCGTAGGTATTCCTATTTGTTGTGTAGGATTGTAATTTGAATCTTTTACGAAATCGATCAGTTATTGATTTTCTTTTTATTTTGGATAAACAGACACTTTTTGTCATGTAAGAATCGAATTTATGCAATGTATTATTATTAGTGTTATTTCTTTGGGTTCCCAAAGGAACATAGGGCTTCAGTAGAACATCTCCATTTCGCTCTGTTCTCTCCAGGCTTTTTAGTGGCTTTCTTTTATTTCCTCTTCATACTATCTCCTTCGTCATCTTCAGACATTCAACTCGTCATTTCCCACTAGACTTCTACTCGATGGTCTGAGGCATGATGTCACCCAACGCTCTCCTAAGTGTGTGCCCAATACATCTACATTTCCTTCTGCATATTTACTAGATGATAAGTTCTTGATTGGTTCGTTGATGAAGTTCTTTGATGCTTATTCTTTCTGACCGGTGGTCATCTGATCTTGGGTTTTGAAATGAAGGTAGTTGTTGATGAAAGTATGAAGTGTCTTGGAAATTATTTTCAAGATACACCAAGTCTCTAAACAGCATATTGAAGCTCTGAATTGACATCATTGTTCAAAATCTGAATCTTGCGTCTTGTGCTGAGTGCAGCAGATAATTTCCACACATTTATTTTAGAGTAATTTAAGTTCTGGTTTTACCATCCTCATCCTTCTTGCGTATAATTGAAATAGTGCTGCCTAGGTAAGTGAACAAGTTGACTTCCCCTAGACTTCTCCTGTTGATGGTGGTTGATGCTTGTTGTTGTTGTTGGTTATGTTCATCACCTTTGGCCTTTCTATGTTCACTTAAAGTCACGTCCTCGCTGCCAACTTCTCTTTCTGACTAGTTGGTTTTCGTGTGTAGGTTTTCCAGTTTTTGCTACATTGGACATAAATCATCCATGCGCGGAGTCCAAATCTTGTGGAGTCTTTTCGTCAGTTCAGTGTAGACACTGTGGTGGAGTATAGTTCTATATTACAATATTTTTATTGGATACAGGACACACACAGATACATTATTATTTATTTTCTGTTGGCTACAGTGAAGGTCACTAATGGATTTCAGTAGGAGGTCTTCAGAAGCGATATTTGAAAGAGTCTATGCTTCGTGTTAATAATCTCCTTTGTGCAACAAATAGGCAGGAAGAAATGGAGATGGATTGACCATACTCTGAGGGAACCATCAAGTGACATCACTAAACAAACCATTGCTCGAGTGGAACCCGAAAGGGAGGCGGCGAGTTGGTCGTCAGTACAAGGGTGACTTGGAGGAGGTCATGTGAAGAGGAGATGAAAGAACGTGGGCAGACTTGGAGCCATGTGAAAACTTTAGCAGAGAACCGAACGCAATGGAGACGTGGAGCTGAAGCCCTATGTTTCTCTACGAATTAAAGGAAATAATAATTGTCTGTAGCACCTCTATATTAAACCTAACTATACGCTTATAAAAGTAATTTATGTACGCATGTTATACACTCACAGAAACAAATTTCACTTATGCTTGTTGAATATATATATATATATTTGAAGCGATTATGCACTTTTTCGTTCACCTTGCACTTTTTGACATTCGATTTCGTTAACAATACATCTTTTCAACTTTCCACTCGTGCTTCTTAATACTAAGTCGTTGGTGGTTGACCGTGTACAGAATTAGCACATATCAGAACGTGAAAACGTGGATGTACTGTAGCATAGTAATCGGAATCATCTTCAGTACGCCATATGTCTACTTTTTAAATTAATCGCGTTTCTAAAGAAGCAAGAAATAGAAACTTGTCAGTGTTTTGCTGCCACTGGAGGTTGAATACGTTTAGGTAATTACAGTGCCTTGTCAGTGGTTCATCTCTTTCTTCATATTTTTGTCTTTTTTTGAATGTAGGATGCAAATAGGCAGACATATCCTCAACTATCATTTAATTTGTTGTTTTATTTCAAATCTTAATATTTTTTTATAAATGTTTGGTAGTGTTTGAATTGTTGGTATCGTGAACTGTTGTGTATATTCTCACCTTATTTGACTGTAAATCAGTACTTTTTCATTTTACAAGTTCTGTCTGATAAACGCCCTGGATGCAGTTGTTGTGCTTGCTTGGTATTCTAGTTGATTGGGTCTACTACACCTATAAGTCCCTTCTGATAATGTTGATAAGTCTGACTATACATTGCTTTTTTTATTCCTTCACGTTCCCAGTGGACATAGGGCTTCAAGCTAGGGGCTCGAAGTTTCGGTAGCAGTGGTGCTTACTTTTACGGGATGGGGTTGCTAACCTCATGCCCAACTTTCCCTCTTTACCACTTTTATTACTGTCTTAGCGAGGTAAAGGAGTAAGTCGGCCGGGGATCGAACCCCTGACCATATGCATGGTAGGCGAGTGTCCTAACCGCTGTGCCAGCATATGGTGGCACGGTAATGGCGAGCTATCTAGAATGGTGGTTACATTACAAACCTGACTGATAGAATTCAGTCTGCACCAAAGAAAGGACTAGACACATCACACTAGTTACTAATGTTCAATCAAAATATCCACTACAGTCCTACAGGAGGTCAATCGCGAGCTCGAATAGTTAGTGGTAACGTCTGTGACTGCAGAGATCACTGGGTGACGTGGGTTTGAGTCTCAGAAGGGACATGAGTTCCTCCAAGGTTGCAGGTATGCCTTGCTAGTGAATGCCAACTAACACGAAACCTAGGTCCAAGGCTTCCTGCAGATTGCATCCAACCATCTAGTATCATTTCGATAGCTTACTCAGAATAAAGGCTTCGATGATGTACCTACTGTTAGCGTTTTCGGTGACATCAGTAGTGTAGAATAAGGTTTGCGGAAACACTTCACAGTTTTTGCTCGCAACATATTTTTTGATGACTGTTAAATATTTTTAATTCATAAATGAAAGTTCTCCCTTTGACTGCCTACAGTTTATAAAAATTTCCTTAATTTTTTCTTCTTCACAGATGTCTGTCATCATGTTCACTGATGCTTCAGGAGAGCCAAGTTTTCGTTTACTATTGTACACAGAAGACAACGCTGTGCAACTGATCAGACAAAATGGTTAGAACTAACTTTTTACCTTTATTTCATTCAGGGTTTTCAAATAACTCAACATATGTGTTCAATCTTGTTTGAACTGAAAGTTAGTTGATTTGTTACAAGGCTAATTCCAAAGATATCTACGCTTCATGTTCACCTCATAGTTCAAGGTTAACTAAATTTCGTTTCTGTCTATGAAACAAGTGTTTTACGAAACAAACTCTCTAATAATTCAGTGTTTGTGACTTATCAGTGATACATCTGAACACTGTCATTCCACAGTGTGGCCTATTGTATTATTTTATTTATTATCATTTCCTTTAATTTCTAGAGAAACATAGGGCTTCAGCCCCACGTCTCCATTGCGTTCGGTTCTCTGCTAAAGTTTTCACATGGCTCCAAGTCTGCCCACGTTCTTTCATCTCCTCTTCACATGACCTCCTCCAAGTCACCCTTGCACTGACGACCAACTCGCCGCCTCCCTTTCGGGTTCCACTCGAGCAATGGCTTGTCTAGTGATGTCACTTGATGGTTTCCTCAGCGTATGGTCAATCCATCTCCATTTCTTCCTGTCTATTTGTTGCACAATCGGTTCCTGGTTGGTTCGCTTTCAGAGATCCTTGTTGCTGGTCTTTTCTGGCCATCTGATCTTGAGCGAAGTACTGAGCGAAGACAGCTGTTAATGAAGGTCTGTAGTTTGTTTGAGATGCTCTTTATGACTCGCCAAGTCTCTGATCCGTATAGTGAGTAGCACTGACTTTACATGAGTTGAAAATCCGGATGTTATTTTTGATGCTGAGTGCTGTTGACCTCCACACAAACTTGAATGTAATGAAAGCTTGTCTTGCTTTTCCGATTCTTTCTATGATATCCTCGTCAGTTCCGCCTGTAGTTGAAACGATACTTCCCAGGTGGGTAAAGGAGGTTGTTTCTTTTAGTTTCCTCCGATTTATGCTGGCTGATTGTTGTCTGTTGTTGTTGCTGTTGGTGTTGACCAGGAATCTTAATCACCTCTGTTTTCTCTATGTTCAACTGAAGTCCTATCTTCTCTGGATGCTTCTTCTGTCAACTTGTTGCTTTTCACTTGCATATCTTCCAGTTGGTGGGAGATTAGACATATATCATTGGCGAAGTGTGGCTCATTGTGCAGCGTGTAGTAATTCATACACAGTTTCTGAGCTGCATTTTTATTCCATTATTACTTTTTTTTTTAAATTCACCGTCCAATAAATCCTCACCATACGTGGCTGTAATGTGAGGAAGAGAAGCATTTTAATGTGTCAGAAAATATTGAAGAGAACAAGACTAGTCAAGGTGTTTTTTTAGTGTTTATTGGAAGGAACTACAATTATAAAATGATAAAACTTTCATTAGTTTTACAATTTGTGAATAAGTTTCACCTATTATGTATTAGACGTGTTTTTCTTATTCCTCGTTGCCTATCGCTCTTTATATATTTCTCTTGTGAGTTTAATCGTCTTGTCGGATCTCATCTCTAGTTGCTTTCCCGTTTGCATACAGATTATCGTTACTTTCCCTGTCAGTTTCATTTCGTATACTACTTAAATTTATTTATAAGTAAAATACACTACAGTATGGCTGTGAGACCTTGCCATTGAGAGTGGAAGACATGAAAAGATTAGTTGTCTTCGATCATAGGTGCCTGCGTTCTATCTCCCGTGTGAAGTGGTATAATAGAGTGAGCAATATTGAGGTTGGGCGTCGAGTGCTAGGTGAGGAGGGAGGGGAAATCAATTGACGAGGCTGTGAAATTACATCGACTGAGATGGTTAGGACATGTGTTACGTATGCCTAGTCATCGCCTTCCTCGACGAACAATGTTAGCTGACATAGGGTAAGGCTGGAAAAGAGCTATAGGAGGTAAAACCAAAACATGGCCTCATCAGTCAATGAAATCCACAACAGTTAGTTTAAGCCAGCCAGGTAGAAAGGTGTAGACTTCTCGGTTGGGGTCCTCGGGACGGTAAAATTCAATGGTTGGAAACAATCAGTGATATGGCTCAAAATCGTTCTCAATGGCTGGCGCAGATGCATCCACTCCTTGTGACTTATGAATGTTGACGTACTTAACAAATAGTGAATAACTTCTAGATATATTTTCTAAGGTTAAATAAAGTAACATATTATGGTCGGTGGAGATCAACTAATTCGTGTATGACCAGAGTGAATTTTTGAAGACATTTGATAATTATAATATGTAAAATTGGTGGATGGTGACTAGCAGTGGAATCCAGGATGCGCATTTCATCCCATTTGGGTCTCGTCAGCTGGATGTACCTGCATTTCCCAGTGAGTGATGATGCTCCCACCGAGTCTCGGACCCAGTGCCCATAGTTTCAAATGCCAAAGCGTTATCCACTAGACCACTTGGGCCACGAGAGGCACCTCTTGTGCAACGGGTCATATAAATTTAATTGAAATTTTAGATTTCCCCATCGATCGATTGGACCAAAGTGCTCGGTCTCAGGTTGACATGTCGGCTTCTTGTGCAGATGCTTCGACGATGTCTGAGCATTTAGTTAGTATTTAATTGGTGGATGGTGACTAGCGTGCCGACATGTCAACCTGAGAACGAGCACTTCGGTCCAATCGATCAACGGAAAAATCTGAAAAGTTCAATTAAAGTAATATGTAAAAGTTGGAAATAATGGACCATTGGATTTCAGTCGATTGGCGACTAAACAGAGTCGTAAGCTTACTTTGAAATATGATCTGAACTGATTTTTTCATTGTTTTATTTTGATTAGGAAATGTCTCATATAATGCTTAAGTTTTGTGGTGACCCTGTTGCTCAATCTATTTGAACTTTAAATATTTATAGGTAAACAACAATGGATTCGAGAGGAAGCATTAGCCAATATCGTTGCTGTAGAAGTAATCGATTTACCAGTATCAGAGTTTCAGGCTAAAATTGAAGAAGAATTCAGTCATACTAGCAGTAAGTTTTTAAAAAAAAGTGAAATATTATTGTTACTGCTATAATTATTGTTATTATTATTATTGATTATTTCAAAGCTTCTTTACCTCTGCTTAATGCATTTTATTCTTTTGTTGATATTATTCATATGGCATTTGACTGGTCTGAGGTTTCTGACATCAAAAATCATCAAAAATTGTTATGCAGTCATTGTCTTGTATAACTAGTGTGGTGAGTGCTACTTATAATCAGACATAAGTAGTATATCAGTAAACGAATTCAGAAAAGCAACAATATGTTTCGGAAACTGGAAAAAGCAATTTTAGAACAGAACTGTGAGGGGACGTTAGAAACACTGTACAGAGTCCAACAAGCTTTTGAGCCTCACTGGTCTCTCCTACCTTACATTACTACTACTACTACAGGCTTATATTTAACAGTGTTTTAAGGATGGGTGAAAATTTGTCCGCAAAGGCTGGGACCTGTAACGTTATGATTCAGAAGACGAGAAAAATAGTTAAAAGTTTGAGAATTAGTGGGAGTTTTTGTCAGACACTAGAGAGACAAATAAAAGATGCCAAGAATGATAAACAGTGAATTGATTACCAACAATATAATATGCCACATGGGTTTGTTTGCTAAGATCATACCAGAAGGAGTGACCAGATGAATTCCTGCTACATTGCTTTACCATGTACAGGCTTCAAAATCTATCCGCTTTTGCATGCTAACTGTTAACGAGAATTCTCGACAAGCCGTTAGCTACAGCTTAATGTCATAAACTGTAATTTTATCTCGAACTTTCAAAATAATCTACTTTTGTAGGTTTACCTTACCCTGTGTATATGTAGGTGAAATTTAACCTTGTGAACAGTAAAACACAATTCTACAGAATCATTACCTTTATTTCTCTTTCTAAGAATACTCGTATTCATCGCTTCCGATTAGCTGTTACTTGTTCGATCTTAACTCGTAGCGGAATCCATCACGAACTTGTAGTTTACTGACTGACTAACTGGTTTCAGCGTAGAACTTTGTACAGACGTGCAGCAGTTCGAGTTACCACACTCCATAAGGCATACAAAGCAAGAGAAAAGAGTAAAGACAGATAATAAACAGAAATATGGGAGGGGGGGTGAAGAATATTAATATGGAATAACAATAGAATTTTACGAGGTATTTTAAATCACAAAGAGTGAATACATCTGCGCCAGCCATTGAGAACGTTGTTCAGCCATATCACCAATTGTCTCCAGCCTTCATTGGCTTTTACCATCTCGAAGACCCTATCTAGGAAGTCTACACCTCCCTACTTGACTGGCTGGCTTTAACTAACTGATGTGGATTTCATTGACTTATGAAGTCACGTTTTCGTTTGACCACGACTAGCTCTTCTCGAACCTGATCCTACGTCACTATAGAACTTATAAGCATATTTTACCTGCGTATCTATGGTAGTATAGTAATACCACTGCGACTCGAACCTACAATCGCTGGCGTGTCTCATCTCCGAATGTTGTTCCCTAGGATACCATGTCATACAAGTGTCCTATGGCTTGACCTCTTTTTACTGCTATTAATACAGATGAGGTTAAACTATAGTGACGCGAGGAAACAAGAGCAAGCATGACTTTGAATCGATTATTTAGAATCCGATATAATCGGAAAATATAGTACATCTATAAAAAAGTATGTTAAAAGGAATGCAAGAATATGTAAGCAATTTTGCAAAAATAACTTCCATTTTGTCATAGTAGAGTGGGTAATCGTCCAAATGCCCATTTCACTAAGCAGTGAAATGGGCGCTACAAGTAGATTTATATTTAGGGAGTAGGGATTCGATAGTAGTTCAGATAGCTCTTCCAAATAACATTTATTCCGTGAAACTCCGAACGACATTCGTTAGTAATGTTTAGTGAGGTAAGCTGCATTATAACCAATGGAAACTTCTAGGTCATTCATATTCTTATTCACACAGATGAGTATCAAATAGCTTCACTTTATCACATTATGATTACTATTCGTGGTAAAAAAGGTTTTTTGTGAGATATTACGTTTGAAATATTCTATATTTGTCCAAACAAATATAAAAACTCAGTTTTATTTGATTGTGTATAGTGCTTATGCACATCAAACAAACTACAGACCTTCATTAACAGCTGTCTTCGCTCAGTACTTCGCTCAAGATCAGATGGCCAGAAAAGACCAGCAACAAGGATCTCTGAAAGCGAACCAACCAGGAACCGATTGTGCAACAAATAGACAGGAAGAAATGGAGATGGATTGACCATACGCTGAGGAAACCATCAAGTGACATCACTAGACAAGCCATTGCTCGAGTGGAACCCGAAAGGGAGGCGGCGAGTTGGTCGTCAGTGCAAGGGTGACTTGGAGGAGGTCATGTGAAGAGGAGATGAAAGAACGTGGGCAGACTTGGAGCCATGTGAAAACTTTAGCAGAGAACTGAACGCAATGGAGACGTGGGGCTGAAGCCCTATGTTTCTCTAGGAATTAAAGGAAATAATAATAAGTGCTTATGCATAGACATATGTTACTACCACAAGAAATGAAATTATAATTCCCCACAATTCATAATGACCACTGAAATAATAGAAAGTCAAGGTGATAATGAAAATCAGGGATTTATTTTGCATGATTTGTTGCAGTTATACATACATACTTATTCTATTCTATTTGATTTTATTTAATTTTTGAAGATAACATCATAGAAATGTTTGTTCGTCGACTGAAAACACAAATGTCTCAGTTATTTGTAAGTTAACACCTCAGTGTTATTGATTTCAACTACTCTTTTTTTCTTCTTATATTGCTTCAGTGTTCATAATATTTCTAGGTATAAAGCTTATAAATGTTTTGTATGTGTGACTAAAAATAGGTTTAGTTGTATTGTAACAGTAGAGAACGAAAGATTTGGTAAAGGAGTTTTTTTATTTTTGACTTAGTATCTCTATATAGCGAAATTATGTACACCTTCCTTATCTTCAACACACCATTTGAACATATCTCCCATGTTGTGCTACTACTGACCATCAGATTGTCTCTCTTTGCATTCCTTTCACATCTACCATGTATCTCCGCAACACTGTATCATTCATTGGCTTTCTCGGACATCAAATGAATTTCCCTGCTATTTGATGTTTTTATGCCGACGAACGTCTCTTTCTGTCTGTATGTCTGTTTTCGACATAGAAATTTGCACTGATATGCGGCAGTTCAAGTTGCCACACTCCCTCCTTGTAGAACATAAAGCAAGAGAAGACAATAGAAGAAATGCATAATAGAGACAGAAAACAGAGGTGTGAGACAAAGGAATAGTAATAACGAAGAACAATACAGTTTCATTGGAAATCATAAGTCACAGGGAGTGGATGCATCTGCGCCACTGAGAACGATTTTGAGCCATGTCACCAATTGTTTCCAGCCATTGGATTTCTCCGTCCCGAGGACCCCAAAAAAACAGCCACTCTACACCTCCCCATGTGACTGACTTTAACTGTTGTAGATTTCATTGACTGGTACCATGTTTTGGTTTGATCGCCTGCAAGTCTTTTCCAACCTGACCCTATGTCAGCTAACATTGCCCGCAGAGGAATGCGATGACCAGGTATACGTAACACATGTCCTAACCATCTCAATTGGTGTAACTTCACAGCCTCATCGATTGATTTCCCCTCCTTACCTAGCACATCTCTTTATATACTACTGGTGAATCTTATCAGTAGCACACGCCACAGTATAGCAATTAATTTTTTTAAAGTGTGCAGATAATCTCAAGACTATGTAGCCTTATGATAATAACATGAAACCATCAAGTACTACAGTCATGCTTCTGACAGTATCTCCATTTTTTAAAGTTGTATTAAAGAGATGGCCGACTGACTGACTAACTGGGTTTCAGCTCAGCGATTCGCACAGAAGTGCAGCAGTTTTCAAGTTGTCACACTCCATGTAGTACACAAAAGTACAGAAAAAAACTTTTATAAGCAGAAATGTAAGGGAGGAATAATAATAATAACACTTAAGAACATGATGGTTTGGTGGACATAGGAGATCCGTCACAACGGGTAAATGCATATCCGCCATTGAGAACGATTTTGACTCATATCATTAATAGTCTTCAGCCATTGGTTGTTAGTACATCTTTAAGAGCCCCAGCCAAGTAAGTTTATACTCCTATGTAGCTGGCTCAAACAAAATGTCAACGACTTCATGGTGTAATCTCAGGTTTTAGTTTAAGCATCCTTAACTCTTTCCCAACCCAACTGCGTATCAGCCCTACACTTATGTCCCTTTATATATTATAATATCACCCATCAGTCTATTTTACTTAAATACTTACTTTCTTTTTATTGTGCTATTTCCCATGATACCATTGCTCATGTAGTTGTTAGTTAGTCTATGTATTCTGCTTTTGAATTATACAGTGTTAAGTTTATTCAGTTAGAACTTGTCAAAACACCAGCGACCAAATGTAAATATTTTGGCCATTAACTGCAATGTTCTTTTTTTAATTAAATACATAAAACGTAGTTTTCAAGAGTTACTTTGTAGGGATTTGATTTGTTTTGCTCTTGAGCGTGGATCGATGTCATTTGGATTCTGATCTCGATTGTCGGTAGGGACTTACTGCTGTTCCAGACTAGAACGAAACAGCTCTCCAATATTCCCTAGTTTTCAATAGTTCTCTAACGGACATCAATCCGTGATCAAACATTAAACAATGTAATATCATAAATCATATTCTTTATTGGTGGTGGTGATGCATCACCTTGAATAATGGTCAATCATTAAATTCCTCCAGAATGTGGTTTTTCATTCGCTAGTAATAAATTGCTACTTAGTAATATCTTATTCAATTTGGAAAATGTTTCTGCCTGTCTACCAATTGTCAGTTTTCCTATCTGATTTGGTACAAGGTATGTGGTTGAATCTGAAATACAAGACTGACGTTTATTTTCGCACGGACGAGGATGTACAATAATCATCCACTTAAATTGAATGTCTTCAGAGATTGTCATCAAGTTGGCGATTCCTTTCTTAATCGAAATAGCACATTTTTACTTTTCTGTCTAGTGTGTACAGTTAATATTCACACAAGCGTTGATATTCTTAAAACTATATATATATATTGGTTTTCTTTCCCCACATATAGGTATGGGTAAAACACTGCATGACCAACCTGCTTCATTTACTCACAACTCTAACATCTTCAACAAACTTATCTGATTCACTTTTGAAACGTTCAACTGATGATATACACAGTCGTAAATATCCTTCGAATGATTTAACATCATCAGATAATTATCCTAATAGTCTGCCTCCTAGATGGCAGTTTTCATCAGATGCTGCACTTCAGGCCAGTAATTACACAGATGAGGATAATAATAATAACAATCATAAGACAAAATCGCATAAATCAACTTCAGTTAATCCTAAAATGACATGGGATGAAATGTTAACACGTGACAATTTCAATGTACATAAAATGTTGGTTGTAGCAACTTCTGTTGGCAAGGTAAGTCTACCTGATTACATAATATTGCTTTTAACGTGCACTTAGAAAGTTTTTACACTATGACATAATTAACGAAGGTAGTAATACTAATGTTTACTTGAAGGGGTGGCGTGGGAATGTCTAACCCTAGTGGTATGACCCACCTTTTTGTCTATTATTGGCTTACATTCATAGATCAAATGAAAGGTTAGAGAGTAAATTGTTGTGACGGTATAGTTAACTGAAAATTTCAGATTTAAGATGCTCTTTATATGTTTATATTACCTTGTATGAGTTTCTGACTTGTAGCTTTGAACCTTTTGTATCTATTTATTTATTAGCAATACCTAATATCTATTTTATATTACTGAGTAGGGTACATTTACGAATTGATGAGGCTATACAGATGAATGATGATCGTAGTGAAATAGACAGGACTGGTGAGAGCAGAAGTAGAGAAATTATAAGACTTACATTGATATCGCAATTTGCAGCAACAAAAAAAACTGAAACATCTTTCTTGTCTGTTTCTGACTTAATTCTTCTCAGTATTTCTGCCTTCTCACATTTCTTCTCCATTTGCCTTTTCTATTGACAAACAATTTACCATTAATAGATAGTTGTTTCGTCCTAGTTTGGGACTATTCAGCAGCACCCACCCACCGGCGTTCGAACCTAGGACCTTCTGGTTACAAGGCAAGCTCGTAGACCATTACGTCACTGGGACCCGATCCAATGCCTATGAAATTATCAATTTACTAATCATATCTGTTTATGAATAGTATACAGTGCAGTTTACTGGCTACCTTGAGGCTTTCACCAGACTGTGAAATTTCGTCTCCCCGATTTCAGTTAAGAATAAGCAACCCTTCATATCATCATAAAACAGAGCATAGAATGGCAGTCAAATCTCTACTTCGAATTCACTGGCTTTAAGAAGACCTTCAATAGTATCGCCTGTTAAATAATATGGAGACTGCTTCAACACTGTGGAGTGCCCTAAACCCTTATCAACCTCATTCAGTAGCCATTTGACAATGCCATATTTTCAAGTGATTCACAGAGGAAGGCTCAGCGAAACCTTTGAAATGAAAACGGTAGTAATACAAGTCTGTCTTCAAACACATGATTCCTCGACAGTTCTTGCAGAGTCCTGAGCCGCCCTTCTTTGGTAGTTTCACGAAGTAACCATTCCTTCAGTCAGTAGGGACCTTTCCCTCCTTCCAGACCTTTTGCAATAATGGAGTCAGTATGTCTGCTGTAGTCTCTGGGTCCACTTTTAGTGCTTCAGGGGTTATTCCATCTGGTCCATCTGCTTTTCCAGCTTTCAGAAGTTTGATTGCATTCAAGACTTCAGCTCTCGTTGGAGGATTGGTGTCAACTTGCAGTTGTGTACGTGCTGTTGTTGGTATTTCTGGACGGGTTGCAGGTGATGGTCGTTTCAAGAGTCCTTTGAAGTGATCCGCCCATTGTTTAATCTGTTTTTCTTCCTTGGTATTTGGGTTCCCTTGGCTGTCTTTTATAGGTTTCGCTTGTGTTGTTCTCTTCCCGGATAGAGATTTGGTTATCTGATATAATGTCCTCAGGTCTCTTTTGCCTGCTACCTTCTCAGCTTCAGTAGCTAGATTGTCGTAGAATCGTCTTTTGTCCTTCCTAGCACTTTTTTTCACTTCTTTGTCCACTACTGTGTAAGTTGAGCTCAGCGTCTCCTTCTCTTGTACGTCCTTGCATTGAATCATTTTCTCTTTCACCATTCTCCTCTCTTCTATTAATTTCCAAGTGTCCGTTGAGAGCCATTCCTTGTCTTGTCTCTTCTTTCTTCCTAGAACCGTTGAACACGTTTCGTTGAGAATCGCCTTTAGAGACTTCCAGTGGTCTTCCACGCATGATTCTTCAGTGCTGTCGCGTAGTGATTCCTGCTTTGCTCTGACAGTTGCAGTGAAAGTGTCTTTTGTGGTTGTGTCCTTCAGTAATTGAGTGTTGAACCTGCATTTTGGCCTATCCCCCGCTATCATCGAGGCTTTTAGTTTCACCTTGAAAGTCCCTTGTACTAGATAGTGGTCTGAACCCATATCTGCTCCTCTCCTCGACCTTGTGTACAGTAGGCTCCGTCTCCACTTTCTTGAGATTGAGATGAAGTCTATTTGGTTTTTGGTGTTTCCATTTGGTGAAATCCATGTCGTCTTGTGTATATCCTTGTGTTTGAACACACTACCACCAAATCATTGAAGGCGCAGAAGTCTGAGAAGAGTTCACCATTGTCGTTCATTTCACCGAGGGCCTCACGACCCATGGTGAGTTCTCTTCCTGTGTTGTCTCGTCCCAGCTTCGCATTCATGTCGCCCATCAGGATTTTGATATCGCCATTTGGGACGTTGTCCATTATTGCTCGTAGTTGTCTGTAGAACACCTCCTTCTTCTCTTGTTCTGAGACGTTTGTAGGCGCATAACATTGAATGACTGTAACTTTCCTTCCTTTTGAGTTGAACCTGGCTGTCATTATCCTGGAGGAGATTGGTTCCCACTGCATGAGAGCTTTGGCTGCTGTTGGTGACGTCATGATGGCCACTCCCTCGGTGTGCTCATGGTTGTCTTCTGGGTGGCCGGAAAAGATTACTGTCTCTCCAGTAGGTAGTTGGCACCTTCCAGTTCCGTTCCATCTGCTTTCGCAGATTCCCAACACTTCTATTCTGTACCTTCTTATTTCAGTGGCTATCTTGGCAGTCTTTCCAGTTTCGTACATTGTACGAACATTCCAGGTACCCATCCTTACTTTTGCTTTCATCGAAAGAAGGCACATCGGCTGACTGGCTTCCCGAAGGCTAGCTTTCACCAGCCTGCGTCATTTCACTTCCCCGATTCCAGCGAAAAGTAAGGCTATTGCTTATGTTTTTAGAATTTTTAATATATTTATTCGTTGAAGTTTCTGTAGCGATTTGGTTGTTTTAGGGGGGTGGAGTTGCTAGCACCACGCCCCAACCCTCCCTCTTTACCCGGGGTTGGGACCGGCTAGAAAACTAGCAAGGTAGTAATCTGGCAAGATTATCCACTCAGCATAAGGAACAAGATATGCATTTTCAACACTAATGTCAACTCAATTCTTCTATATGGATCAGAGACTCGATGTGTCACCGAAAGATTTCGTAACAGGTTGTGGATCAATGTTAGTCGTATATATGATTCACTACTACCCGCACGTTACTTGTTAATGTAGTGATGGAAACAAACGTTCCCTTCGTAGATATATGTGGTTTGGTCAAAAGTTCGCATGTATATAGATAGGCTTAGGATGTGTTTTAAATTTCTGCAGTGTTAAAATTCTGCTTGACTATCTTTACACTGCTTTTCCATTTTATGCCTTTTTTCTCCCTATAGCTTTTTGGATTAGAGAGTGAACGTGGTCGTGTTGTTTGGGATTATTTTGTTCCATCTGCAGCACTCTTAGCCAATGGAAAACTTGCTCTCTTTCAGCAACGTAATTTAGCTCATTTTCCTCTGCCTCCAGTCATGTCATTGCTATTTAGATCAAAGGTATTTTTTCGAGTTATTTTTCTACTGTTCCCACGTAGATTTATTTTTATCTTATTGTTGTACGAATGTTCACAATGTAACGGCAAAAGATTAGAGAACTGGTAACAGACCTTTTTATTGAGGAAAAACGTATCATATTTCTATAGTTTTAACCACATTAAAAGTTGGCCAACTCAGTGAGCAACAAGCTGTTCCTATTGGTTGGCGAATGGTCAAAGGTTGAACAAAAGGACGAAAGATTGTCCATTGAGATTATTTCAAGACCACAAAGTAAACAAAATCCAGATGCGGCGAATAAACACTTCTACCTCCGCAGCCATTGACCTACAATGTTGATTTTCCGCTTCCTATCAACCTGCATCTATATAGCACACACCACAACACTACAATCACCTGAAATCTATGTCGAATATGCACGTGATTTGAGTCCTATTCTCGGTCAGTATTCTCTGCTTAACCTCACTTAGCCACAGTAGTAAACCGGTTGAGAAGGCGAAGTTGAGCATAAGCCAACACCTCCGCTATCAAAACTTCAAAGATGAAACTTGAAGCCCTGCGTTCCACACGGAATACAAGAGAATGAAAAGAGTAGAAGTTTCATGATATTAGATAATTATTGTACATATGCCTTGGTTAATTTACTTTAGCACGTACACAGGCATTACAGAAAGTGGACTATTTCCTTTGTAGGTTCTCATTAATTCTCAAATATCTAAAATTCTAGCTTTGTTTGATGTATTCTTCAAAATGGTGATTTTCGTCTTGACGGATTAAGTTGGTGAAAAAGATAATTTTTCACTGTAAAAGTTATGATAAGAAGCTATGAAGAACAAATGGCACCGATCACTGTTTTTTCTCCTTGTTATGGGAGTATTTCCCTCGTAATTAACATACACTTTAAGTTCTTTCGCAGTTGGGGTTTAATGCTACCCATATAATTCATACTTTATCAACTTCAGCATTTTCCACTGTGTTTTTAAAAGGTATCGACACCTTAACAGAATCAAGGTTTACTAAGTTGTAAAGGTAATCGTTACTGACCGATTAAAGTTTGAGTGATTTCGATGAATTCAGTTCGTTGGCTTGGTCGAAATGAAAATTCTAATGCTTGATTGAGATCTTATATTCTCTTTAGAAACGGCACTGTTCTTGCTTAAAATGTCTACTCTTCAGTTGACATCATATTTTTCTACGGAAATCATAATAACACAGGAGCTAAGTGAACAAATAAAATATTTCAATGTTATATAATGAGATAATTTTATTGCTGAAGCCCTATAGTTCTATTTGGAACCCAATAAACATATACTAATATGTAAAAACAATTAATTAATTAATTAGTTGGCTATAAACTAATGAAACTTTCATAACTTTCATTTGTTGCTTATAGACTACAAATCTACCAGTGGTTTTCTCATTCAATCCAATCACTGGTGTTCCTTCACGAGAGACAGACATGAATATGTATTCAATGAAGTCAGATATTATCCAAGCTGTCTTACAGCCTGGTCCAGTAAGCGAAAAATGCAAATTTATTCGGCCTTTGTTGTTTTTGAAGACTGATTTGGAGGTAAGTGGATATTTAAAGTTCATTCAGTTACATATATATGTGTATACTAAGCTTTGTTATTGGTAACTCAAAGGATCATTTTTTTCGGTTTTAATTGTTTTCCTCATTGTCTATCCATTTTTGCGATTGAAAGTTGTTCAGGACTTTGATCAGATAGTCACAACCTACTTTTACCGAGGCAAGAAGGATACACGATTATTTAAACGATGAAGGAAGCATATAAGTTATTATTGTGGTCATAAAACTTTCCTTCAAAACTGAAAATACTATAAGGGTGACCTCAAATTAATCCACTTATAGTTTCAAAGTTTCATAAGTATCTGTATTGTGAATTTGCTTCCAGATATAAGTACAGTTTTCAATATTTAAGTATCGTAATTATTTATAGGAACCTTTGTCCATTCACCATCCTTCGAAACTTCGTAAATAGAAATGTGTAATTTGCTGTTTGTATATATAATTATAGTAATAATAATAATAATGATTTACTTTATTCCAAAAACAGTACTTGTGATACAGAATGGAATTTTCAGCATTAATCACAATATTGCATCTAATTTCCTCAAATTATAAATAAAATTAATCACACAGAAAATTTTCCACATTTACAATAGAGGTAGTGTCAAAAACATGCAGCATATAAAATGGAAATAGCAATAATAATGATAACAGCTAGGGTAATAATAATAAGAATACAAGTGAAAATTGCCGTTGGCTTGTGTCACACAGTATTGGCAATGTGGTATAGAAATCCTAACATGTTTAAAAATATTGAATATAATGTTCTCTTTACATGATATGGTGAGGGGAAAAACAAAGATTACAGCCGTCATGGAGATAAGTTGGTGTTTGCAATTATGAGAGTAAAACAGAGAAGTAACAGGACCATAAATATAATAGAAGTAATAAAAGTAAAACTTGAAGGTATATAAGGATGGATGGAGGAAATTGTTTATTTACTAGATGAAAAAAGGTTAGTTAATTCTTGCCTGACACTATTTTCATCACATAAAATACGTGCCAAGTATGGTATCATAGAATTCTTATACTTAGACGTGCGAGCATACAGTTTTCTGAAGTTACTCCTTGTTCTACCTGAGGAGATGCAAGGTGAAAGCTGAGGGTAAAGCGGATGCTCCAAGTCAGACAAAATCCCTTTAGCAAATTTATTGCACGAAGTCAAGTGCCTATCGACAACGACGTTAACTATGTGGTCCACTGGGACACCACTCACCCTACTGACAGTCTTCAGTATTCTACGAATTGTGACATAGTCCTTTTTAAGCAAACCAGGAAAGAATAAGGGTGAGCAATAAAGAAGAATAGGTAGGATGCAAGAGTTTATGAACTGTAAGAGGAGGGGTTGAGTTATACCCGAGTGTCTTAACTTCTTAATGTAAAATGTCAGGCGGAATATTTTACTGGAGATTGCTAAGACATGGGAAGACCAGGAGAGATCAGAAGAGAGAATGAGTCCAAGATACTTAATTTCTGATTTGATTCCTATATCATTGTCGTCAATTTTACAAGTGTCATGAGAATCGATGACTTCTTTTAACTGTCGTTTACATCTTAAGCTGAAATCAACAGTTTGACACTTAGAAGGATTCAGTTTAAGACCGTTAGACTCAGACCATTTGCTGACTTCCGATAGAAAGCTATTTATTTTAGTACAATCTAGCTGGGAGTTAACAGCCATTGAAACCGTTAAATCATCAGCGTACTTCACAAAGTTTATTTCATCAGAGTGAGGCAAGTCATGCAAGAAGAAAGAAAAAAGAAAAGGAGAAAGAACAGCACCTTGAGGGACACCAGCTTCAGTAGGCAATGAAGTGGGAGACTTCCCTTTATATACGGTGTACTGCTTTCTATCTGAGAAATAGGAATGCAACCAGTTAACAGCCCAACATTCTGTTTGACTAGCAGCAAGTTTATTTAATAAGATGTCCCTAGGGACCGAGTCGAAAGCAGATGTATAGTCTAGGAAGGCGCAACGAACAAATTTAGCCCCCTTGTCTAGACTGGAAGCAATGTTATGATATAAGACGGCAGCTGCATCTAAAGTGCTTCTACTGTGCTTATAGGCAAATTGTTTAGGGTCATTAAAGGATTTAAGCGAAGGTACAAGACTAAGTAAAAGTAATTTCTCCATAGTTTTCAAAAAAGGAGAGGTAATAGCAATGGGTCTAAATTTGACACATGCTCCAGTAGAAGATTTAGGTATGGGTACAACTTTAATGTCCTTCCAAACGGCAGGCACAATATTATCGGAAAAAGATTTGTTAAATAGATCAGTAAGAGGGTGACACAGAATATCAGAACATTTTTTAAAAATAATACTAGGTACATAATCGGGACCTAAGCTCTGGGAAGGGTTTAGAGACTTGAGGCACTTTTGAACATCATTTGTGTTAAAACCTGGAAAGGGGCTATTATTAACACAAGTGATGCTGGGAAGCATGGCATTTGAGGGAGAGTAAATAAAAGATTTGTTAAGAGTACATACATCAAAAGAATATGGAATATTGTTTATCTGCTTACCACCAGTGATTTCCTTAAATAGTTTCCACATATTAGAAGGATTTTTGCAGGACATGAATTTCTGGTTATATATTACATTCAACCTCTGCATTTCAGACTTAATTAAGAAGTTAGTTCTTTTTACACCAATTTTATCTTTGATTTTATATAGTTTTTCCTTCTCTCTACGAAGCTTTTTAAGTTGAGGCGAGGAGAAACGGTCAAATTTGACGAATAGTGTTTCTTTTGGACAACAGATTTCAAAACAGAATTTCAGATAGGATGTAATATTAGAGATATTGTCATTAAGTGAATCAACATTAAACAAATCCCATCTTGTGTCACTGAGCATGTTTCTAAGATGATGTACGTTCTCATTTGAGTAGCATCTGTGAACAACTTTCTTAGACAAGTTTGAGAGGGCTTTACTGTGTAACTTTCCGTAAATTTTGGGTAAGACTCGTACAATACAATGATCAGAATTGAAGAGTGGGGCTCTTTTACGAGCTTCGTATATTCCAGAATCATTTATAAATACTAAATCAAGTGAAGTATTTTGTCGAGTTGGGAAATTAACAACATTTGCATGGCCCAGCAATGTAATAAAACTGCAGTCGCTGGAGTTGAAGTCGCCAGTCACTATAGATAAGGAGTTACCAAACGAAGCAGCAGCAAAAATAGTGAATTCATCAGCGAAGATAGATAGTTCTGAGGGACTGCAACAAGGTGTGATATAGATATTTGTGACAAAAATGGAGCTATACTTAGGTAAGTGTTTAGGTCGACATTTTACAGTTATACAGTCAATATTGTCATTTGAGAATTTGAAGCAGACGTTGTTGGCAGTAGACCACTGAGAATTAATAAAAGTGGCAACACCACCACCTCTCTTCTTCTTTGAGCTGCATCGGTCTTGTCTGTAGATTGTGAACCCACTTAAGGAGACTAAATTATCGTCATATGAATCATGGAGCCAAGTCTCTTGAAGAGTGATTACACCAGTATTACAATATACATTTGAGTATAATAGAGAATGCAAGTAGTTAATCTTGTTCGATAATGACCTGCAATTTGTGCTCATAATCACAGGAACAGTCATCTGATGCATTGGAGTACACTTTAATGATCTCTGCCAACCTCCATGATGCTTTTTCTTAACGTTATTATATACTCGTAAATCAACAGGTTGAAAACATTTTAAATAATCGCGAGAGTAAGTAATGCGACTTGGATACATAATTGAATAATTAAAACAAAATAAATCCGAGGAAATAGATGCAATATGTAGGATGGAAATTTTGGTAGCCCAAGATTTAAGCAGGCCGCCAGCATATATATAGTATCGTTGTACTATAAGAGAACAAGTGTATCAAAGCAAATGTGTAGAATATACACCGACCAAAATGAGATCATACTGTGGCTTTTTTCTTCTGGAAACTAATTATTATTATTGTTCCCTTGGGTTCCTAGTGGAACATAGGGATTCAACTGCATGTCTCCACTTGCTTCTGTCTTCCCCCTGCTGTACTTTTCACCTGCCTCCATGTTAGTCCATACTCTTTCAACTCCTCTTCACACCATCTCCTCCATGTCACCCTCACACTGACGTCCCACTCGTCGCTTCCCTTTCGGGTTCCAATCGAGCAATGGCCTGACGCGCGCGCGATGTCACCCAGCGGCCTTCTCCTCAGCGAGTGTCCAATCCATCTCCACTTTCTCCTGCATATTTGTTGGTTGGCGATTGGTTCTTGTTTTGTTTTGTTTGTTCCCATAGTTTCTTGTTGGCGATTCTTTCCGGCCCGGCCATCTGATCTTCAGTATAGATCCAGCGAAGACAGTTAGTTGTTGATAAAGGTCTGCAATAGCCAGCCTGCTGGAAATATTCTTTGTGACCCGCCCGCCCGCCAAGTTTCTGATCCGAATAGAAGAACTGACTTGACTTGACATTTGTATTGAAAATCCGACCGAATTTTGTTGTTGATTCTGGCTGAGTGACGAAGATTTCCAGATTGGTTGTTTCAGGTTGATGAATGTGTTTCTCGCCTTCTCGATGATTCTCGATTTGACATCCTCGTCCGTTCCGACTTCCTGTAGTTGAGACAATGCTCCCTAGATAAGTGAATGAGCGAAATAACCTCTTTCAAACCCCTTCTGTTGATGGTGATTGACGCTGGATGTTGCTGTTGTTGGTTGGTTGGTTATTTTCATAACCTCCGTCTTGTCTATGTTCACCTGGAGTCCTGTCTTCGCCAGGTGCTTCTTCGACCAGTTTGTCGGTTTTCGCTTGTAAGTCTTCGATTTTGTGTGACATCAAACATAAATTATCCACGCGCGAAGTTCAGGTCTTCTAGGTTCTTCACGTCGGTCCAGGATATCCCTGTCTTCTCGTTTCCCTGTTACTGTCTGCCTCCAAAGCCTCAGGATGGTCGGGGGTGGGTGTCTTGCGCTGCGGGTTGGCCACCCCTTCGCACACCTCTTGAAATGCTCCCATATGACCGTGCGTCTTACATAGCCTCTCCTGAGGAAGTCCTACTCACTGCCTTCACGTAGCGGAGGTGTCTCTCACTAAAGCGAGAGGGCAAAAGCGGATGCCCGGCGCTCTCCACCGGGTTGACTGTCCATTGGATGACAGTCTAGGGGAGATGGCTAAACCCTGATTCCAAACCTTCAACGACTGGCGTATGAAGCTCACCGGCAGACGTTTGGACAAAGGGCTTGTTGGAAGTCTGGCCCCATTCGAAAAGGCGTATGAACCGAACTCCGGTCACCGGCTGCCAATGGATAGTGGACTCCTTACTCCACTCCTACTGCCTTGTAGGTCACACTTGGCTGTGTAAAGGCTAGAGCTGCACTCTCAAACAAAAGGCCGAGCGATGCTGGGGACATCACTCGTACCAAATTCCCAAGAAACTTCATGAACTCGTTCATGAAGCCGGCTCATCCTCCCGTAGGAGATAGCCGAAGTAAAGTAAAGTAAGTAAGTAGTCTGACGCATATTCCAGGCAGTCCACCACAATTAGGAATATCATTGGTGATTATGAGCACCCTTGTCTGACTGCTGTGTTTACTCCAAACGCCTCTCTGAGTTTTCCGTTGTGGATTACTTGACATGTGCCGTTGTCGTACAGCTGTTGAATAAGGAAACAAATTATATCACATAATATGATAAGTTGTGTTGAAAGGGCGTGCGAATAAGGATAATTCGAGATCAGTGACACTAACTGGTTGTGTTCCATGGTCGTCCTATAGAAGTGATTTAAATACTGAAAGGCAGTTTACTAAAATGTTGAAGTGTTTATTCGGTTTCATATACTCATTAATTCGATTACGAACATCTTCGTTTTTCCAAAAGTCATGAATTTTTACTAGAGTAGTAATAAATTGTCCTGTTTTCGTCTAATTGTCTCAACTGATATCGTATTTCGTAAAATAAAATTTCCTACCAACGTTTTTTCATGAAATTTTTTACACAGGTTGAAGTTTTTCCATCCCATTGTGTTCCTGCATTCGCTTCATCCGATTCAACTCCTTTACATATATACACTGTTGAAAGTCAAGAAGCCCGCCTCTCTGGTTATCGTGTACTTCTTAAGTCTCCAAATAGTAATTCATTACGAGCTGTGCGTACTTGGCGAATACAGTTGAGTTCAGATTCCAGTTCAGAAAATAAGCAGTTTATTGTCTCTGCAGCTGCACGTCCATCTTCTGGTATGTTCATCTCTATAAAGATAATTATTGCTTCTTTTAAAAAACACTTTGTGTCCTATTTCTTTGTCTTTTATGTGTTTTTTCCCCCACGTTCTCAGGGAACATAGGGCTTCAAGCTAGTGGCCCAAAGTTTCTGTAGCAGTGTTTATTTTTACAGGATGGGGTTGGTAGCCCCATGCCCAACTTTTCCTATTTACCAGCATTATTTCTAGCTTAGCGGGGTAAAGGAGTGCGTCTGTGGCCGGGGATCGAATCGACCATGTGCATGGTCGGCGAGCGTCCTAGCCGCTGTAAAGTTGCTGGATGAATTAACACTAATAACAATGTTAAAGACACCTAAATATTGCAAATATGCAGTAGTAATAACATTTTACGTTAATCAATCTTGATAAATTAATAAGAACACAAAGACACGGGTATCTCTTATTGTGAAAAGCAATTTCTAATAGCAAGAAACAATTCTACTTTAGGTGTATTCTGGTGCTCGTCATAGTTAGAAAAAAAAATGTTTTAGCAATACTCATTATTACTCAAATGTTTTTATTAGTGAGCAGAGTGGACATATAAAAAGGGGAATATCTGAAGTGTGGAGAGTTTGTCAACTGAACTGTGGGTGATGAAATAAAAAGGGAAAGAATCAGATGCACAAGAATCTCAGATAGTGATTACAGTTGTTATTTATTTATCTCAAGTCTACACCTAAAAATTTCTGTATACAATCTTAAAAGAGGTCTTATGAGATGTTTTGTTATTAATGGAAGGCGTTTTCAGTTAGTTATACTTGAGAGTTTTGTGGTTTATAAGACATTTGAGTTTGCTTTGTATGACTACCGAACCAAAAAAGTTTTGTTCTGCACAAGGTCACATTAGCTTCATGTATGTGAAAGAAAGGAAACTGCTATCTCCTTGTATTTCTGTATATGCTATTCAGTAGATTTACAAAATGTTTGTTTGAAGAAGTCGTTGCATTTAAGTTCCCACTATTTTCTCTCATTTGCTTACGTAATGGAATCCAGATCGTATGTAGAGCTGAGATAGTAGAGGATGGCAGTAAAATAGTAAATGATGTGCTTATCGGAAGAGCATATCTATCGAAACTGAAGTTTTTAACTGATAGCTTAGTTGAAGTTCTTGAGAATCGGGTAGTGATCCTAATAGGCGTATGCTTAGTTTTATTCCAGTCTAATACTCCATTCCAACCATCATCTGATAGTCGGAGAAGTCACAACTAAATCTATTTTCTTTGCACCTCTCTTTCCTGAGGTGTATTCCTGCACTTTCATTCTTTCTTCTCAGCGGTCGTCATAATGACTCAGGGCAGTGTACTCTGAATAGTTGTAAATTCCTGATGTTTTTCAATTTCTAGGGTTATGTTTCATAAGTGAATACTGCACTTCATTCTTTCCGTGCTATAACTGGAAGCAGCATTATCAGCCTATTTTAGTAATCGTGAAGTAGGCATGGAATACAAGTATTCATATCTCACATACTTTTAAAGGTGGACTTCTAAATACCTATGCAGTAAATGCTCTGTCTGTTAAGCATGATCACAACCCACTGTTTCTGCCTCCTGGTGTGGTGACATTGAAGCTTTTACCATCACATTTCAGATTTAGTCAGCTTAAATATCTGTGCATTTCATGCATTTACAATCTTTTTGACTTGTTTTTTTGCATTTCTTTTGCATAACTTTTTCATTTGTTTTTAGAACATATTTATTTAGTTGGACGGGTTTTAGGCGATCGAAGTGTTCTCTACAAATATTTAAATCCTAATCTCATTGCAGTTGTTACTACTGGTGGACATGTCAGTAATCATACTAATACAGTAATGATCTATCTGATTGATGTAGTTGTTGGTCGAATACTATATAGTGCTGTGCATCGTCGATGTTCTGAGCCTGTCAGCTTAGTGCATTCTGAAAACTGGATAGTTGTAAGTTAAACATCACTGTATTTTTTTCGACAGACTAGGCTTCATATGTTTTCGCTCAATGACGTAATATTTTATCCAGTTAATACATTATCAATAAATAAATAAAATTCTACATAGATTAGGGTAATTTCAGTTCATTATGACAACAAAATATTGGCATGTTGGTAGCAAAGCCAAAATTGAACAAAGTGTTTGGAGGTGTTAGAAAAGTAGATGCTGGCATATTTACTGGCGTAAGCGGTAACAAAACGGTCGAGATATATAGAGTGTGAAAGAGTGAACAAGAATGTTTTAAGTAGAGCTTGTAAGGAAGAGAGAAACAAAACAACACAACAAAAATAAAGACAAAAAAGGTAGAGAGAAAGGAAAAGAAAGAAAACGTTGTACCTATAAATGATATGAGTTGGAAAGACGAGATTCAGTTGTTCTACTGACTACTTATTAAGTTATAGGTATCACGCCTAATGCTTTCTTTACCGCACAGAACACGAGCTAAGTAGGGTGTGGTTGAGGTTTTGTACTTGCTAGTGCGAGCATATAGCTTTCTATATAGGCTTCTGGTTCTGCCTGATGAGATACAAGGGGAGAGTTGTGAATGAAGAGGGTGGTGTGAGTTAGATAGAATGGATTCAGCCCATTTTTCACATGAGTCCAAGTGCCTGTCGACTAGAATATTAACAAGCTGGTTTAGCAGCACGTTGCTTATCCTGCTGACAACCTTTAACAACCCACATAATAAGATATAGTCCTTCTTCAGTAGCCAGCCCTGGAAAAACTAAGGGGGAACAATAGAGAATGATAGGCAGGGTGAGAGAGTTAACGAATTGTAGGAGTAAGGCTTGGGTTATACCAGAATGTCTTAACTTCTTGATGTAGAAGGTAAGATGGAATATTTTCTCAGAAATCATCAAGATATGAGACGACCAGGAAAGATCATCGGAGAGAATGTCACCAAGACATTTATTTAATTTCCGACTTGGTCTCTATTTCAGTGCCATCCAACTATGTTGCACACTTCGTGAGTGCTAACCAGTTTGTTTAAGTCAAACTTGTGCCTAAAGGTGAAATTAACTGTTTGGTATTTAGAGGGATTTAAGGTGAGGCCATTTTCCTTGGACCACTGGCTGATTTCTGATGAAAAGCCATTTAGTTTAGAGCAGTCACTTTGACATTTGACAGGCAAAGATACAGTCAGGTCATCAGCATATTTGACAAAATTAATGTCATTATCAATTAAACTATCAAAACGTCTCTTATCAGGTGCGTATAATGATAGAAGAATCTTTGGAAACAACAGGAAGGATGATTATTTGACTCATGTAGAATTCTAGTAGCCTATTTTATTTTGAATTTGGCTCTGAAGATGTTATCTAGAAAGACAATAGAAGCTTCACCATTAAACCATCCAGTTCAAAACAAACATCGGTATCAAAAACAGCTGTTATTTTTGTTGTAATTCTGAATTAACCTGCAGAGAGTAGAATTTTATTGCTTACGGTTATTGTATTTTAGTGACAGATACTTTTTGTCTATTCCAACTCTTGGACAAGTAATACGAATTGTTTACACTCTTGACCGTATTCCCAACGTAAAATTAGAGTGCAGTTGGTAGGATCACAATAGCTTTGATAATAGCTCAGGATTCGCAATGCCTGCACTAATACAATTGTTCAGTAGGGTGGGACGGAGCTACAGTTCTAAGAAGCAATATAAATACCATAGCAGATGTACTATTATCTCTGTTAATTTGGTTTAGTGGTTCCTATTGTTATTTTGTCCCTCAATATGTCCTTTTAACTTAACCTAAGTCTATTTTCTCACCTCTTAACTCTTTATTAAACCAACACTTGAATACCAATGAGATGCTCACTGGCGACTGGCCTTATCCAGGTAGGTAGTTACCTGGGTTCCAGTGGGAAGTCGTGACCAGTAGGGTACAGCTGGTCGAGTGTGAGGACAAATGCTCGCCGAAGACATTGGCTACCGGTCGCGCTATGTCGTGAATTGGCAGAAGTTAGAATTCAAGGACCATTGGATCGGGTCCCAGTGGCTTAATGGTATACGAGCTCGCCTTGTAACCAGAAGGTCCTGGGTTCTAACCCTGATGGTGGGTGCGTACTGCTGAAGAGTCCCAAACTAGGACAGAGGAAACAGCTGTCCAGTACTCCCAGGTTTACCAATGGTTACTAACTAGTGTCAGCTCATGATGAGATCCTGAAATCTTTATTAATTTCTAGGTGACTTGCCATCATGGTGTACCGTGAATTGTTATTATTAGGTGGTTGGAGGTAGTCGACAGGAGACCTTGGGTTTAGATTTCGTGCTTTCTGGCACTCAACAACTAGGTATATCTTCAATCTTGGAGTAACTCATCTCCCGCCAATACAGTCCTTAAGGAGGTCGATCGAGAGTCTGTCTGTCTATCTCTGTCTGCAGAACTTGGTCTTATGGGCTCGAGTCTAGGGAGCGACATGACACGTCTTGCTGATTGGTGAATGCCAACAACCACAAAACTGAACTCTAAGGTTTCCTGCCGATTGCTTCCCATCATCTAATAACAATGATACCTTTCGATTAATTTTTATCGAAAATTGATATTAGTCATTAAAATATTGAAAAACAACAATCACTGAACAGTTGTCTCATTCTGCTTTGACTGTCTGTCTGTTTTCGACATAGAACTTTGCACAAATGTGCGGAAGTTCAAGTCGCCACACTCCGTGTAGCACGCGAAGCAAGAGAAGAAAGTACAAGAAAAGCATAATAGAAACAGTGAGCAGAGGTGTGAGACAAAGGAGGAGTAATAACGAAGAACAAAACAGTTTCATTGGAAATCATAAGTCACAAGGAGTGGATGCATCTGCACCCGCCACTGAGAACGATTTTGAGCCATGTCACCAATTGTTTCCAACTATTGGTTTTTACCGATCCGATGACCACAAACAGTCAGGAATTCTATACCTTCCCACGTGACTTAAACTAACTGTTGTAGATTTCATTGACTGGTGCAATGTTTTTGTTTGACCGCCGGTAGCTCTTTTCCAGCCTGACCCTATGTCAGCTAACATTGCCCGTCGAGGATGGTGATGGCTTGGCATACGTAACACATGTCCTAACCATCTCAGTCGATGTAATTTCACAGCCTCGTCGATTAGTTTCCCCTCCTTACCTACCAATCGACGTCTAACCTCAATATTGCTCACATTATTATACCACTTCACACGGGAGATAGAACGCATGCACCTGTGATCGGAAACAGCTAATCTTTTCATGTCTTCCACTCTCAGTGGCCAGGTCTCACAACCATAAAGGAGGACGGAGCGAACTGATGAGCAGTACACCCGCCCTTTGGTCGATAGTTGAACATCTCATCTACGCCAGAGTCGGCATAAACTGGCATATGCGAAGCGAGCCCCCTGTATTCGTGCTGAGATTTCGTCAGAGATCATCCCATTGGGGCTGATGGCACTTCCCAGATAAGTGAAGCGGTCAACGTGCTCTACCACTTCACTCCCTATTTCTAATCTAGGCGTCGATGTAGTCCAGTCCTGTAACATCATCTTGCATTTGGCGGGAGCGAATCACATGGCGAACATTCGTAGATTGCAGCTCAAGGTGTTTAGAAGACTCTGCATTTTGTCAGCGTCTTCGCCTAGAAGGACTATATCGTCTGCATATTCAAAGTCAACGAGCTTATTTCCTGGTAGGAAGTCAATCCCTGAGTCGCTGAAGTCACTTAGGGTTAAGTCCATTAACACATCTATGATGAAGTTGAATAGAAAAGGGGATAATGGGCATCCTTGACGGACACCACTGGTCGTCACCAGTTCAGATGACAGCTCGCCGTAAGCCCTCACCTGGCTGTATGAGTACGAGTAGAGTGCCTTAATCAGTGCAATATATTTTCTCGTCATTCCCTTTACAGCCAAGCATCTCCAGAGAACTTCTCGATCGACAGAGTCGAATGCTGCCTTTAGGTCAAGAAATATAATGACTGTTGGACGCCGGCAGGAATTCCTATGTTCTAGAATCTGTCGGAGGGTGAAGATATGATCAATACACCCTCTTCCTGGTCTAAAGCCTGCCTGGCTCTCTCGTGTTTGTGCCTCCCGAGCGCCACTCAATCTACGCATGATTATTGAGCCTAAGACTTTAGATACTATATTAGTGAAGCTAATCCCTCTGTGATTATCACAGGAAGACTTGTCTCCCTTCTTGTATATGGGGATAATCAGTGATTTACACCAATCCGATGGGACTTCTTCTGATTCCCAGACGCTGCCTAGTACCTCAGTTAATGCAGACAGTAAACTGTCTCCACCGTACTTAAATACCTCTGGAGTCATTCCGTCAGGTCCTGCTGCTTTGCCTAGTTTCAGATTGGTGACAGCTTTAGTAACCTCAGTTAGGGATGGAGGAGCTGTGTCTATATCCCATTCAGGGAGGTGTTGGATGTTCGGCAGGTTGAGCGTGGCTGTGGAAAAATTAAACTGCTCCTCATAATGCTGTTTCCAGCGATCCAGTCGTCTAACCTGGGAGCTAATTATAGTGCCACTTTTTTCCGAGATTGTTTCACTAATGATTTGTCTTCTCCCACCCGTTTCCCTGATGAGTCTAAATAGTTGCCTAGTGTTGCCTATCCTCGAAGCTTTTTCCATCTCTTTTGCCTTTGTCAGCCACCACCGTTCACGGTCCTTGCGGAGACTTTTCGTAAGTTTCCTTTTGTGCAGCTTTCGCTCCTCATTGAATTCGGAGCTCGCCGGAATAGGTCTTCTAGCATCTATCAGTTCGGATGAGGTGGTGGAGATCCAGTGGTTTGTACTGCTTTGAACTTTTCAATAATATCCAGTTCTAAGATGCCATTCGAAATGTAAGTTGACACTGTGTATTTCGATTATAGGCACATTACAGTGTGTACAGAGAACAATATATTAAAACGAACATTCTCAATGTGTATCTAACATCTAGAGGTACATATTTCAGTGACTGATATTCCGAACATCAAAATTCAGCATAAGTTTTAACTTTATTTAATCTTTTTATCATGTAATTCATTTTACCAACCTTTTTTAAATTGCATTAATGATAACTTTTTCCAAAAACAACCTTTTCAGTACACTTATTACAATCACAAATCGTTACGTAATGAAGTGACAGTTATAGAGTTATACGAGCCGACAAAACTATCCGGAGAATTATGTGCTAGTCATTCAATTCCAAGTCCTGGACAATTATTCCTCAGCAATCTTATTCCTTCGTGGTTGTCTACTTCAAGTTCAAAAAGTGATTCAAAATCAGTTAGTTCACGTTTCTCCTCTCTATTCCGTGCTAGTGATGTTGATGGATTTTGTGGTTCAACAGGAGAGAATTCTCTAGTTCCTCAGGTTTTTCAACAATCCTACATACTCAGTACTCCACCACGTGGTGGTGCAGCAGCTGTTTCTATTACTGATAGAGGAATAACATCTAAAAATATAATTTGTAAGTTATCCTCATATTAGTAAGAGATTAATTATTATTAATTAATAACAAATATGCAGGAGAAAGTGGAGATGGGGATGTATACTCGCTTAGGAGGCCGCTAGGTGAAATTGCGCGCGCGTCAGGCCATTGCTCGATTGGAACCCGAAAGGGAAGCGGGGAGTGGGACGTCAGTGCAAGGGTGACATGGAGGAGATCGTGTGAAGAGGAGTTGAAACAGTATGAACTAACGTAGATGCAGGTGAAAAGTAAGCAGAAGAAGACAGAAGCAAGTGGAGACGTGCAGTTGAAGCCCTATGTTCCACTAGGAACCCAAGGGAACAATAATAATAGTAATAATTCTTGAGTTCATGATTTTTTTCGTAAGTATAGTAATATTTCATTTTCCTAGTTAGATTCTTTTTTTTTGGTCAGGATTTCATTCCTTTTTAACTTTGATGAAACACTTAGTCAGAGTAAACTTTGTTGTCTTGGTAGTTCAATTGATATCATTTTATGATGAAGTTCAGCTGATGCTAATTGTCATCATACATCTTTAGGGAAAGACTAGTGAAAGGAATTACTAATCTAAGAGTAGAATTTAGATACTGTAATGGAATATTATTCCATATTATTATGATTATTGCTATTATTATTATTATGAATATTGTACCATTCTGTGTGCAATGCCGCGTAAACGTATGTAATTATTAGATGGTTGGAGGCAATCGGCAAGAAGCCTTGGACCTAAGTTCCATGCTTGTTAGTACTCATCAGAAAGGAGTATCTGCAATCTTGAAGGAAGTTATGCCCCTTTGAGATTCGAATCCGCCTTGTCCAGTACCGCAATCAGAGATGGTACCACTCAGCTATCTGGACACAGAGCCTGAGATTGCAGATATGCCTTGTTGTTGAGTGCCAGTAAGCACAAAATGTTAACCTAAGGTTTCCTGTCGACTGCCTCCAAACACCTAATGACAATAATTCACAGTGCACCATGATGGCAAGCCACCTAGAACATGGTGACCATATTGCAAGCTTCGCTGATAGAATTGATTCTGCACTAACCCAACGACTAGACGCTTGACATTAGTTATTATTATTATTGTTTCCTTTAGTTCCTAGAGGAAAATAAGGCTTCAGCCGCACATCTTCATTATGTTCGGTTCTCTGCCAACGTTTTCACCTAGCTCCACGTCTGCCCACATTCTTTCACTCTTCTTTCACATGACTTCCTCCATATCACCCCACCTTCCCACTGACGACCAACTCGCTGCTTCCCATTCGGGTTCCTCTCGAGCGATAGCCTGGCGTGAGATGTCAATTAATGGTTTGTTTTCTCTGAGTATGGCCAACCCAACTCCATTTATTCCTGCATATCTGTTGCACAATCGGTTCCTGGTTGGTTCATTCCCATTAGTTAGTTTCCAATGAAAGTAAATGTATATAACATGGAAAGGAGTACTTGATTGTCACCTTGCAAACGAATTATATCACATGAAGTTACTTTACATATATTTCCACCTAAAGTTTGTATGATCTTCACTCAAATTACTGTTTATGATGTAGGAAAGAAAGTAAAATCTTCAAATTTCTGAATACCATTATGATAATTGTTGTCCGTATGCTGAAGGATTCCAATTTATATTGTTGTCTCATGTTATCTCATCTTCGGTTCACATATTATGTAGCAGGTTAAGAAAGTGGAAAGTAGGTGAGAAAGATACATCATAGGCCGTCACTTAAGTCGATGAAGATATATAATAATAATAATAATGATTTACTTTATTCCAAAAACAGTACTTGTGATACAGAATGGAATTTTCAGCATTAATCACAATATTGCATCTAATTTCCTCAAATTATAAATAAAGTTAATCACACAGAAAAATTTTCACATTTACAATAGAGGTAGTGTCAAAAACATGCAGCATATAAAATGGAAATAACAATAATAATGGTAACAGCTGGGGTAATAATAATAAGAATACAGGTGAGAATTGCCGTTGGCTTGTGCCACACAGTATTGTCATTGTGGTATGGAAATCCTAACATGTTTAAAAATATTGAATATAATATTCTCTTTACATGATGGTGATGGTGAGGGGAAAAACAAAGATTACAGCCGTCATGGAGATAAGTTGGTGTTTGCAATTATGAGAGTAAAACAGTGAATTAACAGGACCATAAATATAATAGAAGTAATAAAAGTAAAACTTGAAGGTATGTAAGGATGGATGGAGGAAATTGTTTATTTACTAGATGAAAGAAGGTTAGTTAATTCTTGCCTGACACTATTTTCATCACATAAAATACATGCCAAGTATGGTATCATAGACTTCTTATACTTAGACGTGCGAGCATACAGTTTTCTGAAGTTACTCCTTGTTCTACCTGAGGAGATGCAAGGTGAAAGCTGAGGGTAAAGCGGATGCTCCAAGTCGGACAAAATCCCTTTAGCAAATTTATTGCATGAAGTCAAGTGCCTATCGATAACAACATTAACTATGTGGTCCACTGGGACACCACTCACTCTACTGACAGTCTTCAGTATTCTACGAATTGTGACATAGTCTTTTTTAAGCAAACCAGGAAAGAATAAGGGTGAACAATAAAGAAGAATAGGTAGGATGCAAGAGTTTACGAAATGTGAACCCATCTACGCCAACTGAGGCCGATTCTACATTGTCACTTATTATTATTCCCTTAGCTTCCCATTGGAACACGGTGCTTCAGCAGCACATCTCCATTTCATCCTGTTTTCTGCAGTAGTCTTTAGTTTCCTTCACAATTGCTCATAGGCTCTCATCTCCTCTTCACACCATCCCTTTCATGTCACCTTCGGACGCTCAACTCGTCGTTTTCCATCCGAGTTCTACTCGAGAGCCTTCCTCGTGGTGTCACTCAACGGTCTGCTCAGCATGTACCCGATCCATCTCCATTTTCTTCCGAATATTTGTTAGGCAATAGTTTCTTGGTTGGTGTGTGCTACTAGAGACCCTTGTTGCTTATATCTTCAGTCTGGAGCCAGCGAAGACAGCTGTTTTTAAAAGTTTGCAGTGGACTACTGTACCAAGTCTCTGAAGCATATAGAAGCATTGACTCACTTGAAATCAATGTCGAAAATCCAAATCTTGTTCTTTATGCTTAGCGCAGCTGATTCCCAGATTGATTTAAGAGCGATGAAGATCTGTCATGCCTTTCCTATCCTGACTGGCTTTGAAACCCTCATCCGTACTGCACCTGTAGTTGAAATGATGCTGTGTAGATAGTTGAGAGTGATGACTTCCTTCAGATTTCTTCCGCTAATCGTAATCTATCACACATAGTTTTCATCATTATGCTCCGATTATCTCATTATCAGCCAGGAAGCTTATATTGCCAAAACTTTGAAAAATTTCTCATTATTAATTATTTAGTTATGGTAGTATGTCAGATGTGTGTGTCTACGTTAATGCACTTAGAAAATATCTGTAGTCTTATAGCGTTACTACCTGGTTTTTAAAAACTCTGTGTAGTGTCCATTGATCCACATTGCTATATCACAGTATTTACACTATTTGAGTATACGTCGTCTTTGCATATGTATCTCTGTTGTCTCTCATACATCTCACCTGGTTGGTATGTGTCAACAATACGAGTCGCCCATTCCTAGATCTCTACACGAATTTCATGGTACAGACATAGTTCAACAGGTTGGGAAGGTAAAGTGTACTATGGTGTTTTCCAAGTTACTTGTTTAAAATTATATATATATATATATATATATATGATTGGTCACGATCTGACATCGGTTAAAAAACCATTGGAAAACTAGGGAGTACTGGATAGCTGTTTTGTGTTAGTTTGGGACTCTCTATTTGTACGCACTTAGGACCTTCCAGTCGTAAGGTGAGCTTGTCGACCATACAGCCACCGAGACTCGATCCAATAGTTTGTGAATTCCAGCTTTTACCTGTTCGCGATATTTTGTGCGACCGCCAGTAGCCAATGTCACAGATAAGTAACTGTCCTCTTGTCTGACTCATTGGATCCCTCTAGTTATGACATGTTACTATAACTTCTGGTATAGAGGCAGTCGCCAGTAGTAAGCACCAGATTAATTAACTATTAAGTGTTGGTTTTTTATGGATTTTTTGGATTACATAATCAATCACTAGGTGACATCAGCTTATTATCAATCCCATAAGAGTGTTTTATATTTTACTTGCTATTGAACATCTATCAACATTCTGTGTAACATTTTTAATGCGATTCAAAGATGTTTTTTGTTTGTATAATTTCCAGTTGCTTTACAGAAGAACAGTCTCATTGAACTTCCAAAATCCTTTTTTGATCCCCGTCGCAGTTTAGATATGACACCTGAATTGATGTAAGTTCCAATTGTTGATAAGAAGTTGTGTTTAACTGATTTTTTCAGTTAGTGATTGTTTGGATGGTATGTATTGCTTGGTTGTCAGTTTTTCATCTCTAAACTAAAGTAGAATCTGTTTAAAATTGAATTAAATTAATTGAAGCAGTACTCTCTGTTATGCGATATGAGCTGTACATGACTTCTTTAAGCATGTTTTTTTGTGTTTCGCTGCTGATAGTCCAAAATTTATGCTGTTCTGTGATGTCTACTCCACTTAACTGATCTACCACAGTAGTTCTACTTTACCAAACCTGAGCTGTGTTGTCTTCTCCTATCTAATATGTAGGTCGCGATGGCCGAGTGTTTAAGGCGTTGGACTAGAAATCCAATGGGGTTTCCCCGCGCAGGTTCAAATCCTCCTTGCGACGTAGTGATTCTTCGCGTCGGTGGCGCAGTGATTAGGATTCTCGCTGATCATGCACATGGCCCGAGGTTCGATCCCCTGCCGACGCACACGTGATATCTGTGGTTGGTCTGCATAATTTGGGCTACCGATATCCATGCTGAAAATTCCATACTTGTACCAAAAATACAGTTTGGAATCAAGCTGCAATCAAAAATAAAATAGATACTATGTAGTTATTATATGTATTCACCCCACCTGGCCAAGAGGATGAATCTTCAAAATTCACCTTGAGGGTGTCAGGAGATGCCACAGCTAGTTCACGAGGATTAGCTGGCGTAGGGATAGCTTCGAGTACTAGGGCAGAAAAGACATTACTTGACTGGATCCCAGTAGATAGCCGAATGTGTGCTGTCCGTCTGAACGGATCAGTAAGAAGGAGAAAGGACTGCACTACTCGCCGATGCCTTTTCGTAATCTCCGCCTACGCCCCCACTGACTGCAGTTCGGATGAAACGAAGGATGAGTTCTACCAAAAGCTGTCTAGTTTGGTGAGAAAGGCTAAACGCTCAGATATAGTCGTTCTAGCTGGTGACTTTAACGCTCAAGTAGGGAAATTGTGTCAATCTGAGAAGGATGTCGGTGGCACCTATGGAGTTCCGTGCCAGCGAACCGACAACGGTGACCGTCTCCTACAGTTCTGTTCAGATAATCATTTGTTTCTTGTAAGCACTAACTTTAAACACAAGGAGAGACACTGTTTAACCTGGCGACCCCCATCATCAAACCAACGCTGGACACAAATAGACCACATAGCAATAAGCTATCGTTGGCGTGGGTCGGTAGGAGATTGTCGCTCCTTCTGGAACACGTGTGTAGATACCGATCACGCACTGGTCCGGGCTCGTGTGTGCTTACGACTGAACGGACGTAGGAAACAGCTGGCGGTAAAACCATCACGTCCCCAGCTCGATCAGGAAACTAAATCCCTATTTGAGGAAGAACTAGCTAAACGCATATCTGTGTTCGACAGCTGTGCTCACCCTGGAGAAGCCTGGAAGAATATTCAGTCAGCTATAGATACAGCTGTAAAAGCTGTGAATAAGGCAAATCCAAAGGTGAGTAAAAACCACTGGATTTCGACTGCCTCATCCGAACTGATAGATGCTAGAAGACTTATTCCGGCGAGCTCCGAATTCAATGAGGAGCGAAAGCTGCACAAAAGGAAACTTACTAAAAGTCTCCGCAAGGACCGTGAACAGTGGTGGCTGACAAAGGCAAAAGAGATGGAAAAAGCATCGGCGATAGGCAACACTAGGCAACTCTTTAGACTCATCAGAAACGGGTGGGAGAAGGCAAATCATAAGTGAGACTATTTCTGAGAAAAATGGCTCCTTAATTAGCTCTCAGGATAGACGCCTTGAACGCTGGAAAGAACACTTTGAGGACAATTTAACTTGCCTACAGCCACACTGAACCTCCCCCCATCCACACACACCCGAATGGGATATAGACACTGGTCCGCCGTCTGTAAGTGAGGTCACAAAAGCTATCAGTAATTTGAAACGAGGCAAAGCGGCAGGACCCGACGGAATTATTCCGGAGGTGTTTAAATATGGGGGTGACATACTAGTTTGTAGATTAACTGAGGTACTAGGCAAAGTCTGGGAATCAGAGACAGTGCCATCAGACTGGGGTAAGTCACTTATTATACCGATATTCAAGAAGGGAAACAAGTCCTCGTGTGATAATCATAGGGGGATCAGCCTAACGAACATAGTCTCTAAAATCCTAGGCTCAGTAATCATGCATAGACTAAGCAGAACTCGGGAGGAACAGACAAGGGAAAATCAAGCAGGCTTTAGACCAGGTAGAGGGTGCATAGATCATATCTTCACTCTTCGACAGATTCTAGAACATAGACACACTTTTCGGCGTCCAACAATTGTCATATTTCTTGACTTGAAGGCGGCCTTCGACTCCGTGGATCGAAAGGTACTATGGCAATGTCTGACTGTGAAGGGAGTGCCAAGAAAGTACATTGCACTAATCAAGGCACTCTATTCAAACTCACGTAGTCGTGTAAGGGCTTATGGGGAATTGTCATCTGAATTGGTAACAACCAGTGGTGTCCGACAGGGATGTCCACTTTCCCCATTTCTGTTTAACTTCATCATAGATATGCTGATGGAAGTATCCTTAACTGAACGTAATGACTTAGGAATCGACTTGTTACCAGGGAATAGTCTTATGGACTTAGAATATGCAGATGACATAGTCCTGTTAGGGGAGGATGCTGACAAAATGCAGAGTCTTCTGAACACCTTGAGCAGCAATCTTCGTATGTTTGGCATGCGATTCGCCCCTGCAAAATGTAAGATGCTGCTACAGGACTGGACCACGTCAACCCCTAACTTAGTGATAGGGAGTGAAGTGATAGAACATGTTGACCACTTCACCTATTTGGGAAGTTGTATTAGCACCAACGGACTGATTGGCGATGAAATCTCAGCACGGATCCGAAAAGCTCGAGCTGCTTTCGCTGACTTACACCATCTCTGGCGTAGGCGTGACATCCGGTTATCAACCAAGGGACGTGTGTACTGCTCATCAGTTCGCTCCGTCCTTCTCTATGGCTCTGAAACATGGCCAATACGCGTTGAAGACATGAAAAGGTTGACTGCTTTCGATCATAGATGTCTGCGATCTCTGTCTCACGTTAGGTGGTTTAATAAGGTAAGTAATGTTGACGTTAGGCGTAGAGTGTTGGGCAAAGAGGGAAAATCAATCGACGAGGCTATAAAGTTACATAGACTAAGATGGCTAGGTCACGTGCTGCGCATGCCTAACCACCGCCTCCCCCCCGACGGGCATTACTAGCTGATATAGGTTCAGGTTGGAAAAGAGCCAGTGGTGGCCAAACAAAAACATGGCATCAATCCATGAAATCCTTGACAGTTAAACTGAGTCAGGTAGGGAGATGCAGACTTCCGGGTTGGGGCCCTCGGGACTCTAGGAATCAATGGCTGGAGACAATAGGTGACATGGCTCAAAATCGTTGTCAATGGCGCAGATGTATTCAGTCTCTGTAATCTTTCATATTCCTTTCTACCATTACCCATTCTGTTTCACTCTTATACTTGTCAAACTCTATTGATTCTCTTCACTCATCTTCTTGTCTACCTCTGTGTGCTATTTGGAACGTGGCAACTCGAACTGGTGCACTTTGGTGCCAAGTTCTATGTTGAATCCAGACAGACAGAGACAGACAGTTATTATATGAGCTGATACCACTTCTTTGTCTAGCTGCAGCTTTCTTTCTTCCAGCTGAGTTCTACAGTCGTAAAATGGTTTTCGAGGGCTAATTATGTCCTCTACTGGTTGGATGCAGTTTGTATGATGTTTGGTTTAAATGAAAATATAGAGATGTAAAGGTAGTGTCATCCTTAAGCCTATATCAAGTTTCTAAGTCTCATATTTACATCACTTTCGGCCAAAATTTCACTAAATAATGTGATATATACAGATAATGGATATAAGTTGTGTTGTTTAACAATACAGTATCACCTTTTCGTCTTATAGATTACTTCCAGTTTCACTGAAGAAAAAATTTAATCGAAAATTCATTACTTGGTTTTACTTAAGAAATTATAAGAAGGGGAAGAGGACTGCAGCATTTTCACCGTTGATTTAGATTCTAAACCGTATGCGATGCCAAGTAGAACCACTATTCCAGAGAGTCTATCAGGCCTCACCCCCTCAGTCGTTATGCAACAACTCAATACAACTACTCTTCGTCCCATGATAGTACTTCATTGGCTGACCACCTGGGCTTTTTACAGAAAATGAACAATGAACCGTTTGGAAGCCATTGTCACGTCGAATTCGTCCATGACGACATCTTCGATTGGAAGGCGATCCTCACATCTTGTCCAAACAGTCTCCGTCGGACCTCAGAATTACTTATGCAACGTCGCTGTCAGATACGAGGTGGCGATGATCGAATAAACAACATCATTGCTTATCCTTAACTAGTAGAGACCAGATATCAGTCACCAAGACTGTAAACATTGAAGCATTGTGAACATAACTTTTGACAACCATCTAACATCGAAGTGATGCTCTACACGTAGACGTCACGATTAGGGTAATCTGCTATCATGAAATAATTGTTTGCACGCTCAGGGTCGAATAGTCTTTGTCCATGTAGCAGATCTACTTAGCCATCAGTGCTCATACGACCTAAGACTGCCTACTGAGTATTATTGGTGACAGAGTTATAGGGGAATGTTAACCCTGTACAGCTCTACTACTGTTCAAGAGCACCGGAGATAGGTGGTTACGTACCGTCACTCAATCTGCTTTTTTTCCATACAGAGCCATCAAACTGTCGACAAATTTCTGGGAAACACCAATTATGAAAAAAAGTCCTGTTTCAAAAATTGAACGCAAAATGAATATCAAAAAGTATAATGACTGTTAGCTTACAATGTCATAGTGTTTTATCAACTGCTAGATGATGAGCATGCGTCCTGAGTCAAACCCAGCTTTGAGACAATTAGTTTTTCAAGTCTTTTGGAAAGTGTGTTTCTTTGACATGACTTATAATTTTCTCATACCTTGACACTCATTTTCTTTTGAAGGTAGGTAGTAGTAGTAGTCTTATTCCATATTGGTTGGACCCTCTCAGTGTTTCATATTTTAAAAGTTATTCTAGCCAGTTCCTTGACTACATTGTCGCCACCATTATTTAAAACAAAAAACCCTGAAATGCACTTGTTTGATTCAGATGCTCTATTGCTGTTGAGTACTCAGAGTTATTTTTAAGCCTCTACCATGTTAAGTGGATCACTGCTGACTGTTTATGAAACTGTGTTTGTTTTCTTCCCCTTACTTTAAGGTAGAATATTACTGAACTGCTTTATTATATTTATATTCTCGTTTTAGGGAAGAAGGTGTTCATCCATATGCTCCTGTACTTCCACTTTCTGATCAAGCTATGATTTCTTATAATCAATCAGTAATGCGTATTCGAGCTATACGAACAGCGCCTACAGGTCTTGAGTCTACTGGTTTAGTATTTGCGTATGGATTAGGTAAGCTGTAAAAGATTTATTTACACATGTATCAGTATTTACACTTGTCATTTTAAATATGATTTATTAACTTTTTAACAGTCTAATTGTTGGCCTCACCTTCACTTTATAGGTTGATACTATTCTCCTCTTCTGGATATAAATTGTTTAAGTAAATCATAAGTTTAATTGAATTTGAGATTTTCCCGTCGATTGATTGGACCGAAGTGCTCGGTCTCAGGTAGACGTGTCGGCTTCTTTTGCAGATGGTTCGACGATGTCTGGGCATCTAATTATTATTTAATTGGTGAATGGTGACTGGCAATGGAATCCAGGATGCGCATCTCGTCCTATTTGGGACTCGTTAGCTGGATATACCTGCATTTCTCAGTGAGTGATGATGTTCCCACCGAGGCTCGGACCCAGTGCCTATAGTTTCAAACGCCATTTATGAGTACTGGGTTCGAGCCTCCGTGGGAACATCATCACCCACTAAGAAATGCAGTTACACCCCGCTGACGAGTCCCAAATTGGACGAAATGCTCATTCTGGATTCCACTACTAGTCACCATCCACCAATTAAATACAAACTATAAGTTTGTGTCTACAAGTAGATTTAGAACTTTACTTGGGCCTTAATCTTCTCATATATTACGACTAACAGAATTTCGATTCATGCACTTCCACTAGCTTCATCTGGCAGTGACATTAAATAGCAGAATACTTTAATAATCATTTATTGTAATCCTTTTTCAACCAACTGTTGGATGTCATCCAACTTTTTTTGGCATTCGTTTACATTCTGAGAGGAACATAGAACTTCAAATTGAGCTTTTGAAGTTTCAGTAGCATTGGTGTCTCGTTACGGGATAGAATTGCTAGCCTCACTCCTAACCTCCCTTCTTTGCAAGGCATAATACTGCCTAATTGAGGATTAGCAATGTGTCGGCTGGCAATCAAACGCGGGCCACTTGCGTTGTTTTCGGGTATCCTGACATTGAATCACTGACTCACTTTTCATTTAAAAGTAGAATATTTGATTCTTTTGACAAGTTAAACTTTAAGCACCACTAGCTACCAGTGGATTGTGTCCGCGCCACTGACCCTAAATGGTTCAATGAGTTTTATTCACGTGAACTAAAGCTTCTTTTTCGCTTGATTCAAGTCAGATGACTGCTGTAACGCAGTTGCGGTTGCGAATGATTCTAATATTTTTCAGGAACATGTTTCGCCAGATCTCATATTTCCTTATCCCAGATTTTGTATATTTGTAGTCACTAGGTTTTGAAACAGCCTGTGAGAGTTGTAGCTGGTGAAACTCAAAATGTCTCATATCAACAGTTTAATGGAACCATCGCTGCAGAGATATCGCTCCCTGGAAAATGGAGAGTTTTACTTCCCTATTCGGAGAAGGTGTCGTTGTACATGTAGATGAAACGGTTTTTTTAGAGAAAAAAATACAACCATGGTCTTGGACGAGCGAACAATGTTTGGCTGATTGGTTTATATGATACCTCTCTACGGAAAGGATTCGTCGAGAGGATAGCAGATGCCTATTATTACTCAACTGGTTAAACTAGGATATATAATACACATAGATGAGTGGAAAGGTAATAACTCCTTGTCCTCCCTTGGAAATATTCACCATAGAGTCAACCATTCCAATGATTTTGTGGATCCCATCATGGCGACCCACACGAATTCTACCGAAGGCTTTCAGGGAAGGTTGGAAAACAGGATTAGAGCCATTCAGGGATCCAAAGCAGTGCCATTTATAGTCGCTTAGATGAATATATGTCTAGGATGTGGTGTAATTTTTTCATTGATACTCCTATGCTAAACTGGGAAATGTTTTTATCACATGGGAGAGAAAGGTATCCTCTGTAATACTTTTATACAGTTTTTATTCATTTCTTCATAAATATATGTATTCCATACCCAAAGACACCTCCTTCATGTGACTGATGCGTTCAAAGTTACTTGCTGTTTGATAGTTAGTAGTTCCTAAAGTTTAACTTTAGCGTCGGTGGTACAGCGGTTAGGACGCACATAGTCCAGGGTTCGATCACCGGCCGACGCACTCCTTTACCTTGATAAGCCAGTAATGAGACTGGTATAAAGGAGAGGCTGGGCATGAGGCTAGCAACCCCATCCCGTAAAAATCAACACGGCTACAAAAACTTCAAGTCTCTAGCTTGAAGCCCTATATTCCACTGGGAACGTGAACGAATAAAAAAATTTGACTTTAACGATTCTTTCATATGACAAATATCTGTATCTGTTATACCTGTGTACTTCCTTTTCAGATGTATTTTTCACTAGAATATCTCCATCACAGACATATGATTTACTCAAAGAAGACTTTGATTATACTGCTATAGCTACAGTTACATTAGGTATGATAGTCGCTTCCATTGTATCCTGTCGTCTTGCCAACAGGCGATTAGTATTCAGAGCATGGGCTTGAAGCCTATCATCAGTGTTCCTGTTGTGATTTTCTCTCTGGCCTAATTATTATGCGAAATAGTTCATTTAGTACATTACTGTTATTTTTATTTCACCTGTATACTTTTTATTTTCCACTTTTCTTTTTTACTGCTTGTATCAGTTTTGTATAATCTTGTTGTAAATGTATAAATGCTTGCCCGCATTGATATATGTATATGTTGGTTGTATTTCATATTATGTATTAATAATAATATATTACAATGAAAATAATACTTCTCTTTAAGTTTTTGTGTTCACTGGGATTTGATTGTTCTCAAGGTTTGGCATCCTCAAGAAGTGATATTAGCTGATTAACTGAATTGACAACTTAGGGATTTGTAAACTAGTTGCGAAATTATTAAAAACTTAAAAGTAGTCGGTAACTGTTTCGTTTTAGTTTGAGGAATGCTCAACACTAGAGGCACGTTTCTACAAGAGGTCGTTCCTGAAGCATCAGTTTTCGAGGGCATGAATGTTACTGTTCAGCTAGTAAATAAGAATAAAATTACTTATGATTTCTAACTTTTGCTATTTTTCATGTAGTGCAGTTCCAACACCTGACTAACTATTAGGACGTAGTTCGATTCTTTCAGTGAGTAATTCATCATTAGTGTTTGAACATAGAGTTATTTATATTTGACATGCATTGATTAAAGTAGTCGCAACTGCTTAGAACTTAGCACTAAGATACACCATTGCAGGTTGCCATACATCATAAATTTTACACATAAAAGAGTAGAGAATAATGCTGCAAAGAGACTATAATAAATGGGTAGGAAAAAAAATCACATGAAAAATGATGGAGATTTAATGGATGTGGGAGTTCACAAATAACGGATGCATCTATTCCATTAAGAACGACTTTGAACCACGTCACTAACAATGTGCAACTATTTGTTCCTATCATTTCGAAGACCTCAGCCTCCCTATGTATCTCATATCAACTGTCAAAGCTTTCGTGGATTGACTCTATATTTTGATTAGACCATCCCTGCTTTTTTCCAACCTAATCCCATGTCAATTAATATTACTCGATGAGGAGGGCGGCGGCTGACTATGCTTAACACGTATTCTACCAATCTCAATCGATGTAACTTTACAACCTCATTGTCTAACACTCACCTTTTACTCTCAGTATTACTCACCGTATTATACTACTTAGCCCGACAGGTAGAAAGCAGAAACCCATAGTTAGATACAGTTAACTTTTTCATGTCTTTCACTGTCAACGGTCACGTCTCACAGCCATAAAGAAGGACAGAGCAAATCCCTGCTCAGTACACATGCTTGATTGATAGCTGGATAGGCCAGAGACGATGTAAGTCTGTAAAACGCGACACGAGACCCTTCTGTGATTTCGTCAGTAATCACTCCATCAGGGGTGATGCAACTTACCTAATAAGTGAAATGGTCAGCACTCCGAGTCATTTCACTCTGTATATTTAAACTGGAGATCGGTTCAGTCTAGTCATGCTGTAAAAGATTTGGCAGAGCGAATCACATGCCAAAACTCGAAGATCTCTGTTCAAGGTGTTCAGAAAACTCCTCGTTTCATTGGCGTCTTCATCTAGGACAAAAATATCATTCGCATACTCAAAGTTGACGAGACTGTACTCTGATAACAAATTGACGCCGTGGTCGCTGGAGTCAGTAAATTTATGGTGAAATTAAACGGAAATAGAGATAGTAATTATCCGTGACTGACGCCACTGGTTTTGATCACTTCAGATGACAACTCTCCATAAACTCCTACACGGCTTCCTGATTTCGGGTAGAATGCTTTGATTTGTGCGATGCACTTTCTCAGAACTCTCTTCACAGTCAAACAATGTCATATCACCTCTCAATTGAAGGAGTCAAGTTCCGCCTTCAGGTCAAACAATATGGCAAGTGTTGGACTCCGGCAAGTATGTCTATGTCCCAAAAGCTTTCGAAGACCGGAGAAATAAACAATATAACCTCTTCGTTGCTTAAAGTCTACCTGGTTTCCCGGGTTTTTATTTCTTCCGAGCACCTTTTAGTCTATATATGATTATTGAACCTAGAACTTTAGATACTACATTAGTCAAGCTTATCCTCCTATGATTATTACATGAAGACTTGTGTCTTTTCTTATAAACTGGGATAATTAATGATTTGCAACTGTCCAGGTGGACAATTTCATTTCCGCACAATTCACTTAATGTCTTAATTAATACGGTCAATAATTCAACTTCGTCATACTTAAACACCACTGGGATCATATCATCAGGTCCCTCTGGTTTACCTCATTTTAGATAAAGGACGGTATTTGCGACCTTAGATATAGTTGCTGGGCCGGTATTTGTATCTTATATAGGTAGGTTTTGGTTCCTTGGCAAATTTAGCATTGCTATGAACTGGTTAGATTGTTCTTCATATTGTCCCCTCCAACGTTCCAGTCTTACCTCCTGAAAGGCAACTAAAGTATCATCCTCGTGAATCGCTCGTAGCCTGATTCTAAGTAGTTTTCTGGTATTATCTACCACCAACAGCGTTTACCACTGTTTATACACTGGATGTAATGCCAGGTTTCCTCAGAGTGGATATCGCTGTTCAGTTATTTCCTCCCTAAATAAAACTTCTCATTAAGTAGTTGGGGTGTAATGGTTTTCCAACTGCCTGTTACCGATGTCTGTCCAGTTGTATGCATTTACGTGAAGTAACTAGTGCATGGTTGGAGTCTACGCATATGTTCCAGAAGCAGTGACAATCTTCAGCTGGTCCTCTTCACTGAAAACTTATAACTACACGGTCTGTTTGCGTACATTGTTGTTTTGATGATGGAGGTCACTTCTTTTTTGAAATTAGTATTGACTAGCAGCATATGATCTTATGCACAGAATTGCAAACCGGGATCACTGTTATTACTTCGGCACAGGACTGCATTTGTACAGCTTCCCTACTTGCAGACTGAGGTCGCCTACTAAAGTGATTGTATCTAAACGCTTTGCTTAATTATTTTTTTTGATTTAACAGTTTCTGGTAGAACTTATGCTTTGCTTCATCCGAACTATAGACTTTTGGGGGTTAGATTGAGATTATGGTAAAGCACCGATGGATTTCACAATCTTTCCCTCTCCTAGGTGTGTTCATCCTAATAGCACACATACAACTGCCTACCGGAATCAAACTAGGTAATGACTTTTATGCTCTAGTTCTCAATGTGATTCTTAAATCAACAAGTTCACTGGAACTAACCGAAGGATGTTTTAACAGACATAAAGTGAATTTTGTAGATTCACTACGTTGACTTTGTGGGCTCCAGTGAATGACCATAAAAATTTCCATTGCCCGAGGTGTCAAAGTTCTGACTAGTGAGCCCTGTTGTCCGATCCAACATAAGGCAAATATGAAGTTGACAGTGTCATTTAGAGAGATTAGTTGGTGTTTTTCTATCTCAGATGGATTCTAATGGTTACAGAGTTAAGAGAAAGTGGGAAAGTTACTAGCAGTATAGCATTAACAGTGGCAGGGAAGCCAGAAGATAGAGGTTATGGAATGCTTTTTTAAATTTGGGTGGTTATTACGCACAAGATATTAAGTAATAGGAATACTGGGTCTTCGGGTTCACGCAGCAATGTGTAAACAAAGTTTTCATCGATTGAAATAACATCTTTGAGTAGTCATTCTTTTCTCTGTTATTATGATTCTTAAGCTGAATGTTTCGATTGCAGTAAGTAAGTGTTTGAGCAAACCAGTAATCGAATTTAAAATCACTCAACAGAATGTAGTTGAGAAATGCATTCGTCTTAGAAACTGTGATGATTTAGTTGTTAAGACGAGTGAAACCCAATTTTTTATTCGGTAAACGTTTGTCTATAAGATGAGTTAGGCTGTACAACGTTTGAGGCACAGGTGATCTATTCTTTCCATACTAAACAGATTAGGTTTACAATAACCGAAAAAGTTGTAGTGTGTTGTACGCATATTACGTAGCTGTTTATTTAAGGATTGATTGTTAGCAAACCACAGATGATAACTATTACTGTGGTACCCGAGAAGGCCTAAGAGTAAATGCCAGCTGATGCGCTTAAATGTTCGCATAAAATCTTTTTTATACTGTGAAAAAAGTTTCAAAAGAGGAGCTGGATTTAAGTATTCAAGGGGCTTTATACTTTATTATTCCCCATAGGTATACTATCTGTTTTCGTGCTATGAATTCGTGATATTTGTTCTTCTTTTAACAAAGAAGCAATATTTGAGAATTTTACATCGAGTTGATTACTTTTTGGGTATTCATCTCGCATTTTTAAATACATGAAATAAGAGCTTCGAAATACCTTCTACTGAGTAAAAGCTATTTCACATCACTACAGATCTTCCTTATCCTGTAGAGCACTTGTCATTTTGCTATAATCATACTAACAATAATTATAACTACGCTGATTATGTAAAAAATGTGTTCAAATATAATTGTAGGATATTTTCAGAAAGCACGTATTAATTTAAAGTGACACATTAAAAGATGAAACTACTTGGATGTTCGGTTCGGGTAACATAATATAGTATTTCATAAAAACGACAAATCCGTGGAAAGCGTTGATGATACCACTGCCAGTAAGTAGTTAGGAGACTAGTTGTGGTAACTCTTAGCAAATTTGTCTTTCATTTTTTCTTGGTTGCTCTGCAGAACATTCAGCAGCACGTGGGAATTTTCTAACAACTTGAAAATACTATGTAAATTATGGGTATACTATACTTTGGAGTAAGCTTGTTGGGACTCAGCAATTGCCTTGTCGTATGAGTTTCTAATAACTAGCTTCTTGCTTAGAGAATCGTTCACCTTCGCAAGCTTTTCGGAAATAATTCTCATATCGTGTTGAAGTCGGTTCTTTTCATCATCTTCTTCTATAATCGCTTTTTGCAGCTGGTCTCTTTTCTGACATAGGTCTTCTATCACTTAACTACTATAATTTGCAAATCAGAATGTTTTACGTTTGATGAGTTCAGTATTATGTTGTTGAAGAATTTGTGCATCCTGAATCATTTTCAAGTATTTGGGCAAATGCCGAGTGTGTAACCAAGGTAACAGAAGCGCTAAACAATTTTAGTTTTCTTATCCAATATCTAATATCGTTTTTACGAGCTAATATAAACAAATTTGATTTCTTTGTGCCTGTCTCTTGATTGTGAGGTATGGGTTCCTGATCTTCGGTAAACTTCTGAGTAGCTCATCCCGCCACTCGACTGTCGTAGCTTTGTTTGACTCCGAAAGGAGTAGTGCTGGGATTAATTATGTTTGGTTTGAAGCACGAGGTGTGTTAATACTGTTACTACTGTGAATGGAGCTGATTTTTTGCCGGTTAGTATTCCGATCTCTTCGTCAAAAGAAAAGAGATAATAATAATAGATATAATTGGTGAAATTATTCAGACTAACAGACAGAAAAAGAAATAAGAAAACGTAACAGTAGTCAGGTGATTAAATTTTAAGAATAATATGAACAATACATATATCGGTAATAATTATAATAATAATAGGTGTGGTTAAAGTTGTCAGGAGAGTAAGACGGGAGAGAATGCAAAGAAGTAAAACGACGAACTCAGTTGTATACCTCTGAATGGTCTATGGGATTTTAAGGGGATAGGCTATTTGGACGCTGCATGATTTTCCAGCCTTCGCTTAAAGGCGTCCATAGACGGTGCAAAAGTTACATCTGCCGGTAAGAAATTCCAGGGACGGCAAACCTGCAGTGAAAAGAAATGGGGGCGCACTGGGGTCCTTGCCCTCTGGTGAGATATCCTTCTGGGATTTCCACGAGGGAGCCTATACCTACTCAATGGTGATTCTTGTCATTTGTTATCTTGTGGGCAGTAATCATATCCACCTAAGCCGACGGTAGCTAAGTTCGAATAGACCTAATTTCTTTAGCCTTTCATCATATGGTTTATTTCGGTGAGCAACCATTCCTATTGTCGCCTGTCTTTGGACCCTTTCCAAGCGGTTTGCGTCTCCTCAAAGAAGTAGTGGTGCAATGATATTATGCACTTCATGGTGTGGTCTGACGTACGTTTTGTACAACCTTAGAAAGAGCTCAGGAGTGAGTGCACCTCTCTGTGTAAAGTCTATGACCGCATATAACCACGCCACGTCCCCCGTGCAATTTACGCTTGTGTCCACTTTTTCCGTTAGAACTAGACCTAAGTCACGTTCCGACGTTGCGCGGGACAAGCTTTCATTGCGCAGGGTGTCACTTGCATTCTGCAGTCTATGAGTGCATGATTTCACTACTTTGCACTTTTTCAGGTTGAAAGTCATACCATTGGCCACCTCCCAGTCCTCCAGAATCTTTAAATCGGCCTGCAGCTTATCTGTGTTCTCCGGACACTTTATCGCCCCCCCTATATCTTTACGTCGTCAGCGCATAGAAGAGTTGGGCAGCTTGGATGGCGTGGCAGATCACTGATAAAAATCAAAAACATCAGTGGTCCTTGGATAGAACCCTGCGACACGCCTGATGACGAGCTGTGCCAAGATGAACGGACTCGACTGACCTTAGTGCGAAATTTCCTTCCAGCCAGATAGTCCTTTAACCTTGACAGAAGTGGCTTATCTATACCTGCCTGACTTATTCTGTTTAGGAGAAGGTCAGGGTGAACGGTGTCTATAACCTTTCAAAGTATAGAAAGACCAGATGGACTGGAACATTCATATCCCAGCATGATGTCCAATCGTCCCAAGCTGATAGTAGGTTTGTTACAAGGGTATGCCTTTCCCGAAAACCGTGCTAGGCTTCATGGGGTATATTGCTTGGTTTATCTGGACAGTAGCCACTAGGTCCCCCTCCTCTGAAATAGCAGTGCCACGATTTTGGACCCAAATGGTAATACACACATTGTTGTTAAGCTGTTTGTCGAAGGATAAACTGAATGTTTCAGCCATTTCCAGACTAGTGAGATACTGAGCGTTTGCGAATATTAAGGCTGTAAATCAAGACTCATAAACCGTTAACGCCCAGCTCTTCTACGCCGGGCCTCTCGCTGTCCCGCGAAGATATTCAGAAATGCCTACTATTAACCGACGCAGAAACAAAAACACTGTTTGGCGACTCAAGAATTCTTTATTCTAACGCCAAAATATAACCAGCTATACTGGCATTACAGACTAGGTTCTAAGAACAAATATTACAACAATAAATCACAATATTTCTACTGACGGTTTTTCTACGTTCCTTTTGAACAGCGACCGATGAGACGATGACTGGTGGATTGATGCCTCCGCGAAAATATGGGGAATATGTAACATATCGTGTCAACCGCGCAACAGCTTTCATTAATTTGTACCAAGAAGAATAATATTTAAAAAGTGGATGTAAACCTGAATGTCTTTCTTGAGTAGATGTTAAACTGACACTTGTCTTAAACTCCAAGACACACTCGTCTATCTGTGGTTCATCTTCTCTACTAGGCCACACACCATCAGCCGTTAGCAAGAATTCCGGATCTTTCCACCACTTATTTTTAACCACATTCATATCAATAACTCCTCGCGAAGCTAGATCAGCCGGATTTTTTCCAGACGGTACGTACCCCCACTGCTTGACGGTTGTTAGTTCACGAATTTGAGATACTCTGTTAGCCACAAAGCATGCATATCTTGCCGACTCGTTGAGTATATAATATATCGCAGACATCGAATCAGTCCAAAACATTACAGGATACGTGGGATAATCCAACTGTTGACACACCATTGTGAATAACTGCGCAGCTAGCAAGACTGCAGTATGTTCTAACCTCGGAATCGAAACCGCCTTTAGGGGTGCAACAGAGACAGCACACCTCTCCAAGTGACTGGCTTATCAATATCACCAACACTAAATCCTAAGGTATCAGAGTTCACATCCCATCGCATACCGAATGTGCCTTCAACTGGCAGAGTATCAACAGGCAAATCTCGTACAGTAGGTTCTCTGTCTTCTGGAACTATATGCTTCAAAACGTCTAGGCTGTTCGAGACCCACTTAGTTAAACGAAAGCCAGCCTTATCTAACACCTCAGTAATACTTGTTGCAAATTTAACTGCAGACTTATCATCATCGAAGGAGGCTAAACAATCATCCACATAGAAGCAACAATTGATGACATCCGGCAGATCATTAGAACCAAATGTGGACACTGCCTTTCGTAGAGCAAAATTAGCACGAAACGGGGAGGACGTGGCGCCAAATGGATGGACTGTCGTCCTATATTCTGACACCTTACGACAAGGACCATCATCAAACCACAAGAACCTTAAGTGATCTCTGTCGCTCTCTGGCACCTTCACCTGCAGGAACATTTCCTGTATATCCGCAGCGACAGCAACTGTAAACTTTCTGAATCTTAACAGCGGTCCAACTAATGAGCTCACGCAACATGGGCCGCTATACAGATTATCGTTCAAAGAGACTCCTTCATGTTTCGCAGAACAATCGAACACCACACGGAGTTTACCTGGCTTCCTCGGGTTAAAGACGGGATAGTGGGGCAAATACCACTTCCCTGGCTCACTCTGATCAACTAGTCTTCCAACGTAACCCTTCATTACGTGTTTGTCGACGACATCCTTATATTTGAACCGGAGTTCTGCATCTGACAGAAATTTCTTTAAACCCATTAGTCTCTTAAGGGCAACTTTTCTATTACAAACTAACTGTCTGTCTTTAAATATCCATTGTAGGCCAACACTGAAACGCCTTTAGGTCCTCTGCAGAACGACCCTTCTCTGGGACACTGCAGCCACAAAACTCCTTGTCATGCATATTTTTAATCATAGTCTCCAGTTTGTCCCCATTGTTTGCAACTAGTGATGATATGTGGACTATGGGTATAGGTCCTCTCACTGTCCATCCCAGTGGTGTTCTCGTCGCGAACAGATCATCTCTACCTCCGAATCTCTCTTCTAATACCTTGTGAGCTGCTGGCCCACTACATCCAATGAGTACTCTCACTTTACCACCTTGCAGCGTTGGAAACGGTATGTCACACAGGTGTGGCTTACCGACAACCGTTTCACAACCAGGTACTATAGCTTCGCTGAGTTTCATAATAGAGGTGGTGTAAGCAGTATCTACTTCAACGGTTTCCCCAGTAGTCAAGGTCTCTAACTGAAATGACACTCGTTCACATACTACCGTTTTCGAAGAATTGAAAGTATTTACAACCAAGGATTGCTTTGGGCACTTAATACCCAAGCAGCACGCCAGCTTAGTATCTGTCGGTATAACGTCTTAACCGTTATCTAACAGTGCATAGGTCTCTACCGAAGATTTCGGTCTTTTCAACTTAACTGGTAATACCCCTAAATAAACTTGTGGGTTGTCAAGGGGTCTAGAGATACTATTGCAATTAACCGAATTCCCCGGTTCGCTTACTGTTCTCGGAAGTGGGTGCACATCGATTGAACCACTACTTCCTTTCTCTGTCACCTTACAATTCAACATTGTATGCCCATTCCTTAAACAACTGATTTGCCATTTTTAACCTTTCTAAGGGGGACATAGCAATGAAGCGATTGCAACTGGTCAGTTGATGCGTGTTATGGGAAACAAATCACTCATCCTTTCTCGATATGCCGTGAGCCTTCACCGAAAATGCTTTCTTTATATTCGCTGGTTCCTTAAGTTCTACCTTAAAATGCAAAATGCTGGGGAATTCGCCCATCACCTGATTGACGTTGTCCTTTACCAGTTTCAGAATATCATCAAACTTTGGCTGAATACCTTCGTCCTCCATACGGGAGCTTATCTTCACCCACTTCCTTTGCAGTCGAGTAGGTAGGCGTCCCGCTATTACCTCTAGGACTGAGCTTGAGTTCAAATCACCCATGCATCTCATCGAAATCAACGTATACTTATAAGTCATCAGAATATCAAAAACTCAGTAAGTGTCTTGGAGTCATCTCGAAGTTGACTGCCATTACCTTTGACAGCTTCGTATACGTTCCTTACAATCATCGAAGGTCTTCCAAACCTTTGACGTAATATGCTCATAGCTTCAGAGTATCCTTCATTAGAGGGCATCAACTTACAGCACTGTATAGCTCTTCAGGCAACTCCAGTGCAGTACCTCATCAAAAATATCAACTTCATTTCATCATTTAATAAAAACTACTCAACATGATCTCAAACTCCTTTACAAACTGTGAATAGTCAGCTGGGTTTCCGTCG